TCCCTGCTGAGCTGTCAAGCAGGCCTGCCCCTACCCGCTCACTCACCTGCCTACCCTCAGCAGCCTGTAGCCACTTCCATTTCTGCAGTTCAGAGGCCATGCTGGCGCCCTGTCATCGCTCAGCTGTACAGGATGGGTGGGCACTGGCACCGTTCAGAGAGCCTGGGCCTCCTCCCTCCGAAGCCCCAGAGATGGCCAGATGCTGCTGGAGCCTCTGGGATGCTTTTCGCCAGCGATGTGAGAAAAAGTGCTTTTCTGAGAGAAGGGAAGAGACCAAGGCAATTTATTATGAATGCTCCCTTGTTGCAGGGACAATCCTGTGCTCCTCTGCCCATTACCCCCCCCCATCTGGAACCTTCATTCACATTTGGCACAGATGAGCCACTCCTCCCTCCTCCCCCTCTTGAGAATCAGTCTCTGAGCTTCTGTAGAACGAGGTGCTCCGATCCTGTCTTCCACACTGGCTCCCTTCCTCCCCCAGGTGTCTCCCCGTCCACCCTGTCCTCAGCTCTCCAGGCCTCCTTCTCTGGTTTCTTCCTCAGAAGACACTGTCACCCCCACTGCTCACCTGCACCAGGGGTCCACATTTCTAACTTTGGAAGTGCCTCCGCCCACGTGGGCACCTGGCCATCCACTGAAATCCAGCCTCTCCAAAAGGGCTAATTCTTCCCCTACTTCCTTTTCACACAATTGTGTGGCCAGCGCAGCCAGACCCATGGCCCCATTACCACTAAATCCTCATTCCCGCCTCACTGCTTGGGCTCCCTTGGCTTCCCCTAGGCTGGCTCGCTGTAGGTGCACACCACCAAGCCTGGCTAATTTTTGTTTGTATTTATTGTTTATTTATTTTGTGTCGGAGCCTCGCTCTGTTGCCCAGGCTGGAGTGCAGTGGTGAGATCTTAGCTCACCACAACTTCCGCCTCCCAGTTTAAGTGATGCTCATGCCTCAGCCTCCCGAGTAGCTGGGACAACAGGTACACACCACCATGCCCAACTAATTTTTGTATTTTTAGTAGAGACAGGGTTTCACTCTGTTGGTCAGGCTGGTCTTGAACTCCTGAGCTTGTGATCTGCCCACCTTGGCTTCCCAAAGTGCTGGGATTACAGGCATGAGCCACTGCACCCAGCCTGTTTTTATTTTTTGTATTTTTTGTAGAGATGTGGTCTCACTATGTTGCCCAGGCTGGTCTTGAACTCCTGGGCTCAAGGAATCCTTCTGCCTCAGCCTCCCAAAGTGCTGGGATTACAGGTGTGAGCCACTGCACCCAGCCTCCCTTCTCATTCTGAAAATGGAATTTCTTCAATCTTGTCTTCTGCAGACTGAGCCTTCTGACTCCTTTCAGCTTTCCGCACTGCAGAGGAGCATCTCCTGCCACTTTTCATTGTCGCCTTCGTTTATTTTCTGAGCCACTCAAGAGGGTTTGGTAGGCTCCTGCTTTCTCTGTCTCTCTCTCCACTACCCCATCTGTCATCTTCCTGTCTTTTGGTTCACAACTTTCCAGCATTTGTTCTAATAGGTAAGGACAGCATGGGATTCCACCAAAGCAATTCAACACTGAAAAGGGGCGCTACTCAGTAGTAAGGCAAGGAAGCTTGCAAGAGGCCCACGGTTGAGTGTGGAAGACAGAATACACACAAATAACTGGACTATGGAGCAGGAGAACACAGCGCTCTCCCACCCAGGAGAGCCCAGTGGCCCAAGAGAGCAGGTGACCACATGGGGCACTGTTGGCCTGTCCTTGTGAGTGACGTCTCTTGCTGGCCTGTGACCAGGTCACCATGGCTGCTTTCAGCCCTGTGACCCTTGTGAAAGCCTGTGCATGAGCTGGGCAGAGGAATGATGGATGCCCTTTGTGTGCTTATTTTTTCTACAGAATGAGTTGTTGTCTTTCAGTGACCTCTCTTGGCCATTTACAGCTGCACTTGACATTCACTTTAACTGGTTTCTCCAGGGAGAGGAGAGAGGAGTGAGCAGAAGGCATCTGCGTAATTTGCCCACCACTGTCTTAACCTGGCATCCCCATGTATGCATGTGGAGTGGACATTAGCCAATAGTTGGCACTTTGCTCACAGATGCCTGAAGTTTGTGTGGACGGTGGGGTTCAGGGTCAGACTGAGATCCATCTGATGTTGACATGGCGCCTCCTAGGTTCCAGGCACAAAGTTAAGTGCTGTCTGGCACACCAGTCATTCTTAGACTCAGAAGTGCATCAGCCTGGCCAATACAGTGAAACCCCGTCTCTACTAAAAATGCAAAAAATGTAGCCAGGCATGGTGGCACGTGCCTGTGCTCTCAGCTACTCGGGAGGCTGAGGCGGAAGAATCACTTAAACCCAGGAGGTGGAGATTGCAGTGAGCCAAGATTGCGCCACTGCACTCCAGCCTGGTGACAAAGTAAGACTCTGTCTAAAAAAAAAAAAAAAAAAAAAAAAAAAAAGAGGTGCCGGGTGCAGTGGCTCACGCCTGTAATCCCAGCACTTTGGGAAGCCGAGGCAGGTAGATCACGAGGTCAAGAGATTGAGACCATCCTGGTCAACATGGTGAAACCCCGTCTCTACTAAAAATACAAAAAATTAGCTGGGCATGGTGGCGCATGCCTGTAATCCCAGCTACTCAGGAGGCTGATGCAGGAGAATTGCCTGAACCCAAGAGGTGGAGGTTGCGGTGAGCTGCGATCGTGCCATTGCACTCCAGCCTGGGTAACAAGAGCAAAACTCCATCTCAAGGAAAAAAAAAAGAAAAAAGAGTGCATCAAATGCACTTGTCAAAATACAGGTTCCTAGGACTCTTTCCCAGAGCTCCTGATTCAGTGGGTTTGGGGTGGGGCTGAGGAATTCACATTTCTTTCTTTCTATTTTAATTAAAAAAAATTTTTTTTGAGATGAAGTCTTACTCTGTCACCCAGGTTGGAGTGCAGTGGCGTGATCTCAGCTCATTGCAACCTCCATCTCTTGGGTTCAAGCGATTCTCCTGCATCAGCCTCCTGAGCAGCTGGGATTACAGCCACCTACCACCACACTGGGCTAATTTTTATACTTTTAGTAGAGATGGGGTTTTGCCATGTTGGCCAGGCTGGTCTCGAACTCCTGACCTCAGGTGATTTGCCCGCCTTGTCCTCCCAAAGTGCTAGGATTACAGGCGTGAGCCACAATGTCTAGCCTAATTTTTGCACTTTTAATAGAGATGGGGTTTCACCGTGTTAGCCAGGCTGGTCTTGAACTCCTGACCTCAGGTCATTCACCCACCTTGGCCTCCCAAAGTGCTGGGATTACAGGCATGAGTCACTGTGCCTGGCTGGGAATTCACATTTCTAACAAGTTTCCAGGTGAGGCTGCAAGTCCTGATGGTACAGGGTCTGTGAGAACCTCTGCTGTGCAGTGTCATGTGTCATCATCCACCTCCCTTTGGGCAGGTAGTGCCACTCCCAGTTTACCAAGGAAGAAACTATGGCCAAGCAACCTTGCCAATGCCACACAGCTGGAGGGTGCTAGGGAGCCAAACTGCACTTGCTGCCTTGCCTTTTGCCCTCAGGGCAGTGTGGATGGGGTGGGTGTGACAATGCCCCTCCAAATTTTTGCTCCAGGGAGGGCAGTAAGCAGAGAGGGTAGGCTTGGAGTAAGCAGTACTGGGAGGTGGTCATAGAATCACTGTTAGACTGAGAGTCATTCCTAGGGTGGCCACAGTGTTTTAAAGACACTTTTAGCAAGGCACGGTGGTGTGTACCTGTAGCCCCAGCTACTTGGGAGGCTTGCTTGAGCCCAGGAGTTTGAGACTGACCTAGGCAACATGGCAAGATCTCATCTAGAAAAATACTTAAAATAAAAATAAGAGGCCAGGCGCGGTGGCTCACGCCTGTAATCCCAACACTTTGGGAGGCTGAGGTGGGCAGATCACTGGCAGTCTGGAGTTCGAGACCAGCCTGGCCAACATGGTGAAACCCCGCCTCTACTAAAAACACAAAAATTAGCTGGGCATGGTGGCAGGTGCCTGTAATCCCAGCTACATGAGAGGCTGAGGCAGTAGAATTGTGTGAACCCAGGAGGTGAAGGTTGCAGTGAGCTGAGATTTCGCCACTGCACTCCAGCCTGGACAACAGAACAAGACTGCGTCTCAAAAAAATAAATAAAATAAAATAAAAATAAGATACTTTTGCTCTTATCTATCTATCTATCTTAGAGATGGGGTCTCACTCTGTTGCCAAGGCTAATGTGACACGATCATGGCTCACTGAACCCTCAAACTCCTGGACTCAAGTGATCCTCCCACCTCAGCCTTCTGAGTAGCTGGGATAACAGGTGCACACCACCATGTCTGACAAATTAAAAACATTTCTTTTTCTAAAGATGGTGTGTCGCTGTGTTGCCCAGGCTTGCTTCTGTTTCAATCAAGCCTCATGATACTGGTCAGCAAGCACTCACAGTAGATACTACACTGTCACCCTGACCCTCTCCCTTTCCAAGATGGAAGCTTTCGCACTCCCAGCCCACTGCTGGCAGTTTCCGCCACCCTCCACTGCTGCCAACCGTCCTTCCAGAGGAAAGCCACCTCACCCAAGGTCACGCCCACTCCATAGAGGCAGCTCACAGTCACTAACCAGTCCCTCCCCTCAATGCAGGACAACTCTGAAGGTCCTTGCAGACTAGGACCCCCCTCCATTGCAGGTACAGGCAGCCCAGCTTTTCCCTGTGCCCGCTTCTCTTTCCTCTCCCACACCGGTGTGCGTCCTGAGGGCACTCACAGCAAACTTGCTGCACGCAAACCTCAGTCTCCTGGGAGAACATGTCCTACAACAACTCATTAGGTACCAGGCACAGTTCTAAGCACTTTACACTATATTTCTTTTTTTTTTTTTCTGAGATGAAGTGCTCACCCAGTTGCCAGGCTGGAGCGCAGTGGCGTGATGTTGGTTCACTGCAACCTCTACCTCTTGGGTTCAAGCGATTCTCCTGTCTCAACCTCCCAAGTAGCTTGGGTTACAGGCACCTGCCATCATGCCTGGCTGATTTTGGGGTTTTTATTAGAGACAGGGTTTCACCATTTTGGCCAGGATGGTCTCAATCTCTTGTCCTCGTGATCTGCCCACTTCAGCCCCCAAAGTGCTGAGCTTACAGGCATGAGCCGCCTCACCTGGCCTACACATAGTATTGCATACGATCCTCCCAACAGCCCCAGGAGGCAGGCATTTTTGTTACCAAAGGCTTTGTAACTTGCCCAAGATCACAGAGCTAGCAAGCCAGAGAGCCAGGGTCGTTATCAGGGAGTTGGACTCCGGGGTTCTGAAGTGTTAGAACACTGTCTTCCAGAACATTCATGCAGTCTAGCTTGAGGAAATTAGACAGAGGAAACAGTGAAGATGTATTCTGATTTGAGGGGGAAAAAATCTCTGCTGCCCCCAGTTTTCTACCAGTCCCTTTTTAGTTTCTGAACATGCAGCCCCTGGTGTCTTAGTTTACTTCAGTGGTTCTTATCCAGGGGCGATTTTGCTTCCCAGAGGATATCTGGCAATATCTGGAAGATCTGGAGGCATTTCGTGGTTGACATCCTAGGAGGATAGTAAGGGTGTTTAGTAGGTAGAGGCCAAGGGTGCTACTAAATGTCCTACAATGTACGGGACAGCCTCCCACAACAAATTTAGCTACACGTCAGTGGTACTGAGGTTGAGAAACCCTGTGCTTTAGCTGGAAGCCTGGTCTCCTGGCTGCTTTTACCCTGAAGGAGTCCCAGCATGATGACTATTTGGGAGTAGACTTTGGTGAAGGTGGTGAGAGATACTTGAGCATGGGAGTGTCCTTGAAGGACAAATATTATCCCAAGTTAGTTCAAGGGAAGATCACACAAAGCTTCTGGTTAACACCAGTGGCTGAGCTCTGAAGGCCCCCCTTTTCCCCGACCAGGAAGTTCCTATGGTTATGTAGTGGACCAAGTGTTTTCCTGTCCTCCTCCCAACTCCCCTTTAAACGTATACACTGATGGCTGGGCACAGTGGCTCACGCCTATAATCCCAGCACTATGGGAGGCCTAGGTGAGCAGATCATCTGAGGTCAGGAGTTTAAGACCAGCCAGACCAACATGGAGAAACCCCATCTCTATCAAAAATACAAAATTATTCAGGCGTGGTGGTGCATGCCTGTAATCTCAGCTACTCGGGAGCCTGAGGCAGGAGAATCGCTTGAACCCGGGAGGCAGAGGTTGAGGTGAGCCGAGATCATGCCATTGCACTCCAGCCTGGGTAACAAAGAGCAAAACTTCATTTCAAAAAAAAAAAAAAACCACAACCCACCAGTTGGGATCACGCTGTCTGGGGAGGTAGAGAACTGCAACCCAACAATCCTTCTGAGTATTCGAGATGCGTTCTTTCCTTGGCTCTATCCAGAGGTAATAGACATGACATCCTCAAATCTCACCATCCTGATGACTTCCAGCCCTCCCTCGAATGCCACTTATGGAGCCAGCTACCGACTCAGTGTTTGCACTTAACTGCTTAATGGCATCTCACTCTTAACAGGTACACAACTGAGCCGCTGAGTCCTGCCGCCCACACCCAGAGCCATCTCCACCTCAGGGTCTGGAGCCGCATTCTTCCCTGACCACTCTTCACATCCCACTTCCAATCCTTTGGCAAATCTTGTCAGTTTGACTTTAAGATGCACCCACCATTTCTGACTTTCTTTTTTTTTTTTTCTTTTTTTCAGACAGGGTCTTACCCTGTCACCCAGGTTGGAGTGCAGTGATGCAAACGTAGCTCACTGCAGCCTTGACCTCCTGGGCACAAGTGATCCTCCCACCTCAGCCTCCCAAGTAGCTGGTACCAGACACACCACCACGCCTGGCTTTTTTTATTGTTAATTTTTTTGTAGAGATGGGGTCTCCCTATGTTGCCCAGGCTGGTCTTGGAACTCCTGGGTTCAAGGGATTCTCCCACGTTGGTCTCCCAAACTACTGGGATTACAGGTGTTCACACCTGGCCTCTGATTATCTCTTACCTCCTCAACCGCCACACACTTGGTCCAAGCCATTATCATTTGTTTGCCTTCTGCCTGGTCTTCCTGCTGCCACATTTATGGTGGAAGTCAATTCTCAACACGGCGTCCAGGATGAGCCTGTTAAAGCTAAGTCAGGTGATCTCACTCCTCTGCTTGGCCCACCCCATCACGGTAAACACTCAAATCATTAGGATGCCTGCAAGACCCCATGTGCTCCAATCCTCCCTCACTCCTGCCCCCTACAGCTCCATATCGGCCGCACTGAACTCCTTCAATACACTAAGTCCACTCGCCTCAGGGCCTGTGCACCGGCTATTCCTGTGCCACCCAATGCTCTTTTCCATTGGTCTCAATCCAAATGTCTCCTTCTTGGAGAGGACAGGCCTTCTGTAATCACTCCATTAAAGAGCCATACCCCAGGCTGGGCACAGTGGCTCATGCCTGTAATCTCAGCACTTTGGGAGGTTGAGGTGGGTGGATGGCTTCAAGCCAGGAGTTTGAAACCAGCCTGGGCAACATGGTGAAACCCCATCTCTACTAAAAATACAAAAATTAGCAGGGCGGGAGGCGTGCGCCTGTAGTCCCAGGTACTCAGGACGCTGAGGTGGGAAGATTGAGCCCCAGCAACTGAGCGAGCTTAGATCACACCTCTGCACTCCAGCCTGGGTAACAGAGTGAGACCCTGTCTCTAAATAAATAAATTCATAAAGAGCAATACCCTTCCTCCTCCACACTCTCTCCTTACCGGGCTTAATTTTTTCCCTCGGCTTTTATTGCCCCCTTATGTATGTTTATTTGTTTATCCTGGCCTTCTTCCTCCTCCTGTCCAAACTGACTTATTACTGTCCATTTTCCCTGGGTTCTGCTTTTTAAAATCATAGATTGTTGTTATTCATTGTTTTTGTTATAAGCTGCTTCTAATCCATTATGGAATAGAAAGATACATAAAAAGGAACCAGATCATTATCACCTGGCTTAAGGCAGAACTGTTAATTAGAACAGGGCCTCTAATATTTTCCTCCAGGATTGCCAAACAAAACAGACATGCCTTCCCACCCACTCGAGCTTTAGGAGAGAAGCCTGAAGCTGCCACTAAAAAAGCCAGATGTCCTTGAGACTTTACCTTCCGTGGACATTCTACACTGTATTTCCTAGTACATTTACATGTATTCAATCATAAACTTCTCAAAGTTTTCCCAGTAAAAATAACCCCACCAATAGTGTGCTCCATGTAAAATGCTACTGATGTGGGGGTCCGGGGGCTCCCTGTCCACCCTCGCCTCAGGGACCTTCAGAACCCAGCGTTGGGAGTTGGCGGGGAGAGAATGGGAATGCCATTTCCTTTGGGCAAGTGAATTGGCTGGAACTGGGTAGGGCATCGCCAGAGTTTTGAGTTCTAGTCCCAGCTCTGGCACCTACTGCCTTGGGCAGGTCCCTCCTCTATAGTTTGGCCTGAGTGTCCTAAAAGGTTTGGGGTTTTTTGTTATTGTTGTTATTGTTTTGTTTTGTTTTTGGTTTCACTCTGTCTCCAAGGCTGGAGTGCAGTGGTGCCATCTGTGCTCACTGCAACTTCCGCCTCCCCGGTTCAAGAGATTCTCCTGCCTCAACTTCCCAAGTAGCTGGGATTACAGGTCCCTGCCATCACACCTGGCTAATTTTTGTATTTTTAGTAGAGTTGGGGCTTCACCATGTTGGCCAGGATGGTCTCGATCTCCTGACCTCATGATCTGTCTACCTCTACCTCCCAAAGTGCTGGGATTACAGGTGTGAGTAACTGCGCCTGGCCCGGGTTTGGGTTTTTAAGCTTAGTTCCCACCAGGCTGAATGTAACTATGGGCCTTAACTTCTGAACATGCTCTGATGGAAGAAGAAGGAAGATGGTGGTGAGAGCAGGACTGGGGCTGGACGGCTGGTGGTGCTCTGGCAGGGCGTGGGCTAAGGCAGGGAGAGGCCTCAGGGGGGTGGTGCTCCTGGGAGGACCCAGAGCTGGGGCCTGCTCAGGCTCGGCTCTCTTCTGTGCTGTAGAAAACTCTGCAGTGAAGGTGGCTGGAGAGCCCAAGCTATTTCTGGGGCTGGGCTTTCCTGAAGGTGGGGAGGGTGCCCATCCAATCTTCCGAAAGAGGGCAGAGCTACCCTCTACCCTCTTTTTTGGCACTACCAACTAATCAGTGCCAACATCTAAACCACAGGCCAAGAACACAGCCCTCCTAGGTCACCCTGTCCTCTCGCTCCCCACTCAGGCACCTCTGAGCCACAGTGCAGAGGAGACACTTCCCATCCCTGCATGTCACTTCCACTCTCAGGAGTTGCGCTTGGTCCAGAGCCCAGCCCCTGCCCACCCATCAAGTGACCACATCTCTGGGGAAGGAGGCAGATCACCTGGAAAGAATGTCAATTCTTCCATAAGGATCACACTTGTCATCTCTAATACCACATCTCTCCATGACACCTTTGGGGCATTATGACCCCGCTTTATCGATGGGGAAGGTGAGACTCAGAGCAATCTGGTCACTTGCAGCTCACGGAGCTGTTGGGTAGTGGCTGGCCACAGACCTTCCAGGCATCTTTCCTCTCTGTCACTGTGCTCAGCGTTTAGGGGTGGGAACCGGGGTAAGAATCTCAGGGGAGTGAAAAGAAAACCAGGAAAACTTAACCAAGGATACAGAACATGCATTTCATAAGCCACCCCTGGTGTCTTAACAAAACAATACATACCTGCGTGCTTATATATTCCTAGAATAGCTTTGAAGGAGCATACATGGGGCCAGAAATAGTAGCTGTTCCTGGAGTGGGGAATGTGGTGTCTGAAGAAATGGAATAATGAGAAGGAATAAGGTGTATTTCGTTTTGTTTGTTTTTGAGACAGAGTTTCACTCTTGTTGCCCAGGCTGGAGTGCAATGGTGTGATCTCGGCTTACTGCAACCTCCACCTCCCAGGTTGAAGTGACTCTCCTGCCTCAGCCTCCTGAGTAGCTACCGTGCCCTGCTAATTTTGTATTTTTAGTAGAGATGGTGTTTCTCCATGTTGGTCAGTCTGGGCACCTCCAAGGACTCAGGAGGGATAGGGATGCAGTCCTCCTTCAGACAAGCTGAGAACACACTCCCTAACAAGACCCCAGAGTTCCAGAGCATTCTGTGAAGCCAGAGGAAGGCTTCAGGGGAGTCCACGAGATATGGCACACTCAGGCTCTCTACGGAGGAGTCTGAGAGGAGGGACAGAGTATTTCAGAGGGCACATCAGAACTCACCCTGGGCTCCTTGAGGACAAGGTCTACATCCTCTGGGTTGGCTGAATGACCTTCCTGATGGCTGCGCCTGGCCTGTCACCTGGGCAATCTGACAAGCTTGTGGGGTAGCACCTGCACCAGCAAGGGTTGGAAGGAGCACAGAGCTTGGGTTTGCTTCTGTGTGTGTCTTTTTGTTTGTTTGTTTGTTTCACTCTTGTTGTCCAGGCTGGAATGCAATGGCGTGATCTCGGCTCACCACAACCTCTGCCTCCCGCGTTCAAGCAATGCTCCTGCCTCAGCCTCCTGAGTAGCTGGGATTATAGGCATGAGCCACCATACCAGGCCCATTTTTAATTTTTGTGGAGATTAGGGGTCTCACCATGTTACCCAGGCTGGTCTCAAACTCCTAAACTCAAGTGATCCTCCTGCCTCAGCCTCCCAAAGCATTGGGATTGCAGGTGTGAGCCACCGAGGCTGGCCTAGAGGCACTAATCCCATTCACAAAGGCTCTACCCTCACAACCTAATTACCTCCTTAGAGGCCCACCTCCTACCATTATCGCCTCGGGGATTTTCATATAAATGTGGGGGGGGGGACACAAACATTCAGGCCATAGCAGCTACAAACACAGGCTGGGAATTCCCCTTCTAGAAAGCTGCCCTGCAGATATCCCCACAAAGAAGCATCCTGTCAGCCAGCATTGTTTGCTGGAAATAGTCTCAATTTCTCTAAATAGAAAACTGGTCAAGAAACAAACGAAGAGGAAAAAAAAAAAGAAAACTGGTCATAAGTTAAGACAAGACATACAATGGAGCACTCTGCAGCCACAAAACAAATGAAGTTCTTTCCGTATCAGGAGTGACCTCCAAGAGAGGAAGTGGGGAAAGCAGCAAGTGCGAAGAGCATGCGCAGTATGCTACCATTCATGTGAAAACATGGAAAATGTGTCTGTATTTGCTGGATATGCACAGACCACCTAGAGAGGATGCTTCAGAAACTGGTATCACCGGTTGCATGTTTTGAGGGGATGTGAAATCTCAGAACAGCTTTGCTCTTTATGGGAGTCTCCATCTCCTTTAGGCTGGAGAAAGGCAGTACCCCCTCAACTCATCCAAGAAAAGAGCTCACTCTGCTGCTCTCCACGTGGTTAGGAGAGAGCAGGGTCATGCCATGTAGTGGCTTGGTGACCTCACACAAGTTACTTAGCTTCTAAGCCTCTGTTTCCTCTTTGGTTAAACAGCAAAAATACTACTACTATTAATAAATGAGGCCAGGCACAGTAGCTCACGCCTGTAATCCCAGCACTTTGGGAGGCCAAGGTGGGTGGATCACCTGAGGTCAGGAGTTCGAGACCAGCCTGGCCAACATGGTGAAACCCATCTCTACTAAAAATACAAAAATTAGCCGGATGTAGTGGCATGTGCCTGTAATCCCAGCTACTTGGAAGGCTGAAGAAGGAGAATCACTTGAACCTGGGAGGTGGAGGTTGTGGTGAGCTGAGATCCCACCACTACACTCCAGCCTGGGTGAGAGAGCAAGACTCCATCCCCCCAGAAATAAATTAAATAAATAAGTTAATTTATGTGTAAGTGGGGATAATCATTTTCCCTGCCTCACTAGGATATCGTGAGGATGAACCTTTAACCTATGTGAAGTGCTTAGCACCGTGCCTGGCGTATAGGAAGTGCTCAGCAAATGAATTTGTTCCACATACATCATATTTTCTCCTCTGAACTTCTGACTCTTATGGGATCAAATTGGAAACTCCTCAGTGAGACCAACGAGGTCTATTTTCAACTTTCACCGCCACACTCAGCCCTTGCCACTCCCTTGTATCCTGTGTCCTGTGTTCACTCTGCCTAGAATGTCCTTCCTTCCATTGCTTGACTTGGTCAAAGTCCAGCCTAAATGTCACCATCCCTGGGATGATCCTCCTGAAGCCCCAGCCCAGAAAGAGTTTGTGCTCCCTCCTCTGTGTCCCTGGGTGCTCCTCTGTCAGGCATCATCACACAGAACAGTGACTATGTTCCCGGTTCCAGCCGATACACACAGACTGGTTTTTTACAACAGAAGGAATCGGGAAAACAAACAAACAAAAAAAACCATTCAACTCAACTCAAATAAAACCGCAATAAGACACGCCTCTCTTCCTATCAGACTAGCAACCTTCAAGAAGTTCTACACTGAGGTGGCAAGAAGACAGCGCTCATGCAGGAGTGCCAACTGGCACACATTTGAGACCTGGGCGACATCTGTCCACATTCAGTGGACGTCCATAACAAAAGGGCACAGGCAGAAAGCTGCTCGGTGCATCAATGCTTGAAAGAACAGAGGGCTGGAAACTACCTAAGTGCCCATCAGCTGAGGACTGGGAAATCCATTATGGTCGGAGTATACAGCAAGCTTGCAGCCATGGAACAGAGACGCTCTTTATCATTGACGTGGAACGCCACCAAAAAATACACGGAGAAGTAGAAAAAAAAAGCATGGGTAGTTTCTACAATCTCTGCCATTGTGGAAAACAGGGAGAAAACACACACAAGTATTGTATTTGATGCACTGAGTATTTCTGGAAGAACACATGAGGTCATATTAACAGTAATGCAATAGCAGCTGCCAGGAATGAGGTCTGAGCTTCTGGGAAACAGGGGAGGGGGAAGGTATTTTGTTATCATTTATATCTTTTTCTCTTTTAAATTTTATGCTGTAGACATATATTATCTGTTCAAAATTAAATAGCTTTTTAATAAAGGAAAAAAAGAAAAGCTAGTAATCTAATGAAGATAAGGTAACCCACAAGCTCCAAGAGGAGGAAAAATACCTTGAATTTGTTTCCAGGAGCGCGAGGGTCCATGCAAAGCTTTACGCTGGGGCCAGCTGCACCCCCGCTTGCGCCTGGGCACTGGCAGCTGATGTTAGGGGAATTAAGAGCGTTTTTCAGTATGCGCCTGAGTAAAACAGAAGAGTGAGAAACTCACTATCGACAGCTGAGGAAAACTTATAAATGAATGCATAACAAAGTGCAAAAGAAACAGAATGTGTGCCAGCGTGGCCAACGTGATGAAATCCTGTCTCTACTAAAAATACAAAAATTAGCCGGGCATGATGGCGGGAGGCTGAGGCAGGAGAATCTCTTGAACCCAGGAGATGGAGGTTGCAGTGAGGTGAGACCACACTATTGCACTCCAGCCTGGGTGACAGAGCAAGACTCTGTCTCAAAAAAAAAAAAAAAAGAAATAGAATGTGTGGCCCCAGGGCTCTTTATTTATGGCAAAAACTGACAAGGCTCAGAGGGTTCTTCTTGTACCCACAAAGCTACTTCTAAGAGCCTCTGAAGCCCCTCACCATTGATTTATTATTTATTTAACATATGAATTTATGTACAATATATAATTTTAATCATAGTATATACATTATTTTTGCATCCTGATATTTTCATTTAATATAATTGACATTTTTCCATTTCATTAAGTACTCTTCCAAAACATAATTTTTAATGGTTTCACATTATTGAAACGTATGGATATATAATAGTTTACTAATAATTTTCCATTGCTGGTGGCTGGGCGTGGTAGCTGACACACTTGTAATCCCAGCACTTTGCGAGGCCAAGGCGAGTGGATTACTTGGGGTCAGGAGTTCAAGACCAGTCTAGCCAACATGGTGAAACCCCATCTCTACTAAAAATACAAAAATTTGCCGGGTGTGGTGGCAGGCACCTGTAATCCCAGCTACTCGGGAGGCTGAGGCAGGAGAATTGCTTGAACCCGGGAGATGGGGGTTGCAGTGAGCTGATTGTCCCACTGCATTCCAGCCTGGGTGACAGAGCAAGACTCCGTCTCAAAAAAACAAAACAAAACAAAACAACAAACCCAAAAAACAAATAATTCTCCATTGCTGGGCATTTAGCTACTTTCTAGACTTTTGCTATTATAAATAAAGCTATGATGCACATCTTTGTATATCAATCTTGCTTTTTACAAATTTTATTTTAGATATGGGGGATACATGTGCCGGCTGGCTACATGGGCATATTACACCCGGGTGTGAGCATAGGTAGGTTTTCAGCCAAGGCCCTCCCTTCCTTTTGGTTAGGATTATGGCCTCTGGTTCCATCCATGTTGCTGTCAAGGACATGATTCCAATCTTTTTTATCACTATGCACTGATCGTCTATTTAAAAGCCTCTGAATAGCATCAAGAACTCGCTGGGTAAAGGAGCTGAGGCGGTGCCTTTTCCAACCCTGGACCCCAGATGACCATGATAGGAAAGGCCCCCCAGAGAAACCTACAGGAGGACCCACCAGTTCCAGGAACCCCTTCCTGGGACACCCCTCATTCAGAGCTGGCATCCCCAAACTGACCCTGCCTAGGGGGAGGGACAACCTGAGAGCCAATGCCGCCGAGACAGCCTCTGCTGCCTTTACAAGGGAGAAGGCTGGTGTCAGCCAACACCACACCAGCCTCAAAAAAGATGTTACAAGAGGGACTCGGGAGCCTCAAGAGCTGTGCTGGGGCACCCCAGACACCTCAGTTCAGTGGCTGAGTCCTTGAAGGCTGGGTAAGACAACACCCCCATCACCTCCCTCCCATATTCCCCAGGCCATCTCGGCCCTCCTGCTTCTTACTCACCTCTTCCTGAAGCTTCACTTGCTAACTCCACCCCATTCGGAACTTGGCAGAGGCTTCAGTCCTTAAGTCCTTTTTTTTTTTTTTTTTTTGAGATGGCGTCTTGCACTGTCATCTGGGCTGGAGTGCAGTGGCGCGACCTCGGCTCACTGCAACCTCTGGGTTGAAGCGATTCTCCTCCCTTAGCCTCTGAAGTAGCTGAGATTACAGGTGCCACCACCACACCCAGCTAATTTTTTTGTATTTTTAGTAGAGTTGGAGTTTCACTATGGTGGCCAGGCTGGTCTCGAACTCCTGACCTCGTGATCCACCTGCCTCGGCTTCCCAAAGTGCTGGGATTACAGTTGTGAGCCACCGCGCCCGGCCTCAGCCCTTAAATCCTAGAGTCCAACCTTCCAATGACAGTTGTTCTCTGTCTTCCTGTGTGTTTGCTTGTCTCCCTGACTACACTGCTAACTCCCAGGGGAAGGGAGTCATCTGCGGGTTTATATTTCCTCCCTCTCCCTTGGTACAGGCTCAGGCGAGGAGTCACACGTGGCCTTGCTGACAGGCTGGCCGTCATTCTTGGGACCAGGACTAACCTCCCCACCGCCTCCGGTCTTAGGGTGGCTAGCTGTCCCCTTAATGAACCGTGCTTGGCAAATGCTAAACTCTGTGGACCTGATGGTAAGAGAAATAGTGTCCCCCATACCTGCTCCAGCCAGAAAGATCCTAGGTCAGCTCCCGTCACTCCCTTGCTATCCATCTCCATCTGAATAACATCAGGCCCGTGAGGCTTTGCAGGGGCAGCCCCGGCTCCTCCCCGACCCCCTGCCCCACTCCTCCTGCTCATTCCGCTCCAGACACTCGGTCTCCTGTGGTGAGGTCACACACTCCTGCCTCAGAGCAGTGCGCCTGCTCTCCCCTTTCCCTGGAATGCTCCACGTAGCAGGCTCCTCAATGCATTCAGGGCTCTGCTCAAAGAGAATTTTCCTTCCCACCCCTCCCAAAACAGCAGCCCCTGCAGCGACTGCTCCTTTCCCTGCTGCCCTACTGTATGGCAATCACTCCTTTCATCCGCCCCCTCCAGATGCACCGTCCTAGGCCCTGGCAGGCTGGCACTGGTAGGGCCTACATCAGCAGTCCCCCCACTCCAAGCAGAGAGCAGGTAAGACAGTGTGGGAGGAGGGAAGGAGAGTGAGGTGCAGGTTCTGATTTCCCGTGTTGGTTCCCTCCCTGCAGGGCTCTGCATGCTGGCCATGCTCCTGGACCTGAGGCCTCTACTCTTGCAGAAGCCTCTCCCCTGGGCCTCTCCCCAGGTTCTAGGTGCCCCTCCCCTTCTCCGTTTGCAGCCCAGGTGCTACACCAACCTTTGGGCTTCCTCTGGACCTTGCCTTCACCTTTGGAAGTACTCCCTTGATTAAACCGTCCTCAAATATCCAACCCAGGTACACTGTCACTTTCCTTCCAGGACCCTAAATTCACCACCTGACATGACAGGTCTGCTGTTGGTGAGCTGTCTGCCCCAGCTAGCCCATGAACTCACAGAAGGGGAAGCCTTGTCATAGTCGCCACTGTATCCCAACATCTGTATCAGCACTGTGTGTAGCAGAAGCTCAGTAAGTGTTTGCTGAATGTTAGAGCTGGCTCATGCCTGTAATTCCAACACTTTGGGAGGCTGAGATGGGTAGATCGCTTGAGGTCAGAAGTTCGACGCCAGCCTGGCCAACATGGGAAAACCCCATTTCTATTAAAAATACCAAAATTAGGCAAGACACGCTGGTTCATGCCTGTAATCCTAGCACTTTGGGAGGCCGATGTGGGCAGCTCACGAGGTCAGGAGTTCAAGACCAGCCTGACCAATATGGCAAAACCCCATCTCTACTAAAAATACAAAAATTAGCTGGGCATGGTGGTGTGCGCCGGTCATCCCAGCTACTCAGGAGACTGAAGCAGGATAATTGCTTGAACCTGGGAGGCAGAGGTTTCAGTGAGCTGAGATCGCACCACTGCACTCCATCCTGGTGAAAGAGCAAGACTCCATCTCAAGCAAAGAAAAAAAAGGACAAAACTTAGCCGGGCCTGGTGGTACACAGCTCCAATCCCAGCTCTCAGAGGCTGAGGCAGGAGAATCTTGAATTTAGAGGTGTGAAAGGTGGAGGTTGCAGTGAGCAGAGATTGTGCCACTGCACTCCAGCCTAGGTGACAGAGTGACTCTGTCTCAAAAAAAAAAAAAAAACGGCAGGGTACAGTGGCTCACGCCTGTAATCCCAGCACTTTGGGAGGCCAAGGCAGTGGAGTTCAAGACCAGCCTGACCAACATGAAGAAACCCCATCTCTACTAAAAATACAAAAAGTTGGGCCGGGCGCGGTGGCTCAAGCCTGTAATCCCAGAACTTTGGGAGACCAAGGCGGGTGGATCACGAGGTCAAGAGATCGAGACTATCCTGGTCAACATGGTGAAACCCCGTTTCTACTAAAAATACAAAAAAAAATTGGCTGGGCATGGTGGCACGTGCCTGTAATCCCAGCTACTCAGGAGGCTGAGGCAGGAGAATTGCCTGAACCCAGGAGGCGGAGGTTGCGGTGAGCCGAGATCGCGCCATTGCACTCCAGCCTGGGTAACAAGAGCGAAACTCAGACTCAAAAAAAAAAAAAAAAAAAAGCTGGGTGTGGTGGCTTGAGCCTGTAATCCCAGCTACTTGGGAGGCTGAGGCAGGAGAATTGCTTGAACCCAGGAGGTGGAGTTTGTGGTGAGCCGAGATGACACCACTGTATTCCAGCCTGGGGGACAAAAGCAAAAGTCTGTCTCAAAAAAAAATTTGTTTTATGAGTGACTGAACAAGGGGAGGATCAATGTAAACTGGAGAGAGGGTACAGAGGGTGGAAGACAGGCAAGGTTTTAGGTGATGGGGAGGAAGGGCTCTAACAAAGGCAGGGGATACCGCAGTGATGTGAATGGCCTCCCGTTGTGGCGTAAAGACCCTCGCTATGTCCTTCGTAGCACTCCTCCACTGTCTGTCATAATTTGGGGTTTGTGTTCTTTGTATGTCTTCCCACTGGAATGAATTCTCTGTAGGCAGGGCCACAACTGCCTTGTTCACCACGGTATCTTCAGAGCTGGCATAGTGCCTGACATGCCCAGATTGACAGATTGATATTTATTAATTATTATTATTTTGAGATGGAGTCTCACTCTGTTACCCAGGCTGGAGTGGCACGATCTCGGTTCACTGCAGTCTCTGCCTCTCAGGTTCAAGTGATTCTCCTGCCTCAGCTACCTGAGTAGTTAGAACTACAGGCGCCACCATGCCCAGTTAATTTTTTGAATTTTTAGTAGGGATGGGGTTTCACCATCTTGGCCAGGCTGGTCTCGAACTCCTGACCTCAAGCAATCCGCCCGCCTCGGCCTCCCAAAGTGCTGGGATTACAGGCATGAGCCACCATGCCTGAACCAGACTGATATTTAATAAATGAAAAGAAAAATGAATTATCCAAAAGAAACAATGAATTGGCAGAAGATCTCAGAAGCCCAGCTGGGCGACTTGGACTTGGAGTGAAAAGCAGGAAGGAGGACCTGCAAGTTCTATGGCAGGGGAGAGAAGACAAAGCAGGGGCTGTGGGAAGACGACCCTGGCAGGGCTGGCGGCTGGGAAAGAGCAGGATACCTGCTCAGCCATCCAGGGAGGCAGCATCAGGCTAGCCAGGAAGAAAGAGGGGGCACATTTCAGTGACTGACTGGATACAGATGAACAAGGAGGAAGACATTAAGTGTCTCAGTCCAGGGGACTGGGTGGGGGGCTGGGAAAATGAGATCACGCTGTCCAGCCTGAGGTCCCAGCCCAAGGAAAGCACTCGAGGGTTGGCTGCCATTATCCTCACTGTTTCTAACCTCTGGCTGAAGTGAGAAGGCTGTGAAGTGGAAGTGGTTTTAGGGGAAAGGGAGATCAACTCCGGCCATGTTGAGATGAAAGTATAACCAGACAGCTGGTTGCCAAGGCATCCTGGAGAGGTGATGCTTAATCACTTGAGGTCAGGAGTTTGAGGCCAGCCTGGCCAACATTAAAACTACAAAAATCAGGCAGGTGTGGCATTGTGTACCTGTAATCCCCGCTACTCAGGAGGCTAAGGCAGAATTGCCTGAACTCTGGCCATGACTCTGGAGGTGGAGAAGCAGACGAGCTGTCTCCATGCATACACAGAGGGCAAGTCTTTGGGACCACCATGGCTGAGAGGACTGGAGGGAAGAGCCAGGAAAGAAAAGAAAGGCCAAGAATAACAAGGAAAGCGGGGCAGTGTCATGGAAGTCAAAGGAACGATGCGGAAGAAGGAAGGGGCAGCCAGCACAGTCATATACCAGGAGCAAAAGCAAGCGGCTGGAGCCCACTGAGAGCCCCCATCTTGGAGAAGCACCTGCCTGCTGGCCTCCGGCGTGGGCTGGGAAAGCTGGTGGTGCAAGGCAGAGGGTGCATTGTTAGTAGAGGGCTTTCTGCCTGTCCCAACGAGACATTCCTGGGCACACACACTCCAACCTGATTTATGGCAGAGACTGCCAACTGCCCCACAAGTCCACTCTTTCCTTCTCCCCATGGTGACAAAGCTCCCAGATTTGACCTAGGCAGAGACATCCAGATAAAGATCACATTTCCTTGATTCTCCTGCAGCTACATGAGGCCATATCACTAGGAGGGTGCAGCTTCCAGGTCCTGTTTAGGAGGAAGGTGAAAGTCTGACTTTATACACCTCCCGTCTCCCCCATGCTGGAATGTGGGCCCAGCAGATGGGGTGGCCACCATGCTCCATCATGCAAGCAGCACCTAAAGCAACAGCAGGCAAGGGGCAGAAGGGGCCTTGACGCCATCAACTCACCCACCCAGCCTGGACCACTCACCCAGCTTTCACAGAAGCCATATGCCTCTCTGACTTAAGCAACTAGATTTTGGGGAGTTTTTGTTAGGATAGCCTAACTCATATGGGAATGCAAGATTTAATCCAGTAGAAATGCCACCTTAGATCGGAACAAAAGTTGCTCATCTCATCTCTGCTAGAGGCCCCAGGGGTAGTGAGAGGTCACTGGCATCTCTCTTGACAAGATCCTCACTTTTCACCTACCCGGAAATCCTTAGTCTCCTTGACACTGTTACAAAGCCATCATTCATAAACAGGTCAAAACCATTCATAAGGCTGGGCAAAGTGGCTCATAACTGTGATCCCAGCACTCCGGCAGGCTGAGGCAGTAGGATCCCTTGAGGCCAGGAGTTAAAGACCAGCCTGGCTACATAGGGAGATCCCGTCCCTACAAAAAATTTAAAATTAGCTGGGCATGGTGCCGTGTGAGGTGGGAGGATCACTTGAGCCCAGGAGTTCCAGGTTACCGGGAACTATGACAGTGTCACTGCACTCCAGCAAGATCCTGTCTCTCTTAAAAAACAAAAAACAAAAAAAAACTGCCAGGTGAGTTTTGTAATCCCAGCACTTTGGGAGGCTGAGGTGGGTGGATCACCTGAGGTCGGGAATTCGAGACCAACGTGGAGAAACCCCGTCTCTACTAAAAATACAAAATTAGCCAGGCGCCTGTAATCCCAGCCACTCGGAGACTGAGGTAGAAGAATCACTTGAACCCAGGAGGCGGAGGTTGCGGTGAGCTGAGATAGCGCCATTGCACTCCAGCCTGGGCAACAAGAGCGAAACTCCATCTCAAAAAACAAAACAAAACAAAACAACAAAAAAATCCTTCACGAAAGTTTTTCTATCTACTTATTCAAGGAATGAACATGAGCTGTGATCAGTGGCCTCTGCCTGCCTCACATCAGCCCTCAACTGGCTCCATTTCTAGCTCCTTTTCACCTTCCATCCACAGGCCCGTTGAGTGCGCAGGTGTGTGGTGGAAATCGCCTTGCACACAGCAGTGCTCAGTGCCACTGAGCCTCAGAACACCAACAGTTGCGAGGTAACAGTGCCAATCAGCTCTGGAGCTGAATGCCTGGGTGCAGACTGCAGCTGAGCTACTTAGCAGCCGGGTGGGCTGACTTAAGTTATTGACCTCTCCAGGCCTCCATGTCCTCAACTGCAAAAGGGAACAGTAAACACATTTGCTTTCAGGGTGATTGTGAGGATCAAATGAGTCCATATGTGTAAAACACTTAGAACAGTGACTAGCAAGAGTTCTCAATTAGTATTAGCTTTTATAATTTATTTTTCATATTGTCATGAGGCAAGCAAGCTTTTGTAATTTTAAAAGCAACAAATAGAAAGAAAGGTCTGTTATGGAATAACACTCATATATAAAGCATGGTCATATTTTATTTTATTTATTTATTTATTTTGAGACGAAGTCTTGCTCTGTCACCCAGGCTGGAGTGCAGTAGTGTGATCTCGGCTCACTGCAACCTCTGCCTCCCAGGTTCAAGCGATTCTCCTGCCTCAGCCACCCAAGTAGCTGGGACTACTAGTGCATGCCACCACGCCTGGCTAATTTTTGTATTTTTAGTAGAGACGGGGTTTCACCATGTTAGTCAGGATAGTCTCAATTTCCTGACATCGTGATCCACCCGCCTTGGCCTCAATCTCTTGACCTCATGATCCACCTGCCTCGGCCTCCCAAAGTGCTGGGATTACAGGGGTGAGCCACCGCGCTGAGCCTACTTTAATGATAAAGACATTCTATGAAATCCCCTTGACAAGGTATCCTAATGATGCTGTTCTGTAGAAACTGATTTGGAAGGCCAGGCGTGGTGGCTCACGCCTATAATCCCAGCACTTTGGGAGGCTGCAGGTGGATCATGAGGTCAAGAGATCGAGACCATCCTGGCAACAAGGTGAAACCCCCATCTCTACTAAAAATACAAAAATTAGCTGGGCATGGTGGCATGTGCCTGTAGTCCCAGCTACTCGGGAGGCTGAGGCAGGAGAATTGCTTGAACCCAGGAGGCAGAGGTTGCGGTGAGCCGAGATCACGCCATTGCACTCCAGCCTGGGTAACAAGAGCAAAACTCCATCTCAAAAAAAAAAAAAAAAAAAGAAAAAAACTGATTTGGAAGGCCGGGCTAGTGGCTCATGCCTGTAATCCAAGCACTTTGGAGGTCAAGGTGGGCGGATCACCTGAGGTCAGGAGTTCAAGACCAGCCTGACCAACATGGTGAAACCCCATCTTTAAAAAAGAAAAAACAAATTTTTTTAATTAAAAAAAAAAAAAGGAAGAAACTGATTTGGAAGTTTAGTGATTTGCCCCAGATCCACATTGGTTACCATGATCACACCGCTTGAAGTAAAGTGACTTCAAGATGCCGGAAAAACAAAGCTCAGCTACATAGGTACACCTTTTCTTTCTTTCTTTTTTTTTTTTTTTTGAGATGGAGTTTTGCTCTTGTTACCCAGCCTGGAATGCAGTGGCGCAATCTTGGCCCACCGCAACCTCCGCCTCCTAGGTTCAAGCAATTCTCCTGCCTCACCTCCCAAGTAGCTGGGACTATAGGCACGCACCACCATGCTCAGCTAATTTTTGTGTTTTTAGTACAGATGGGGTTTCACCACATTGACCAGGTTGGTCTGGATCTCTTGACTTCGTGATCCACCTGCCTCAGCCTCCCAAAGTACTGGGATTGTAGGCGTGAGCCACTGTGCCCAGCCTTCTTTTTTTTTTTTTTGAGACAGAGTCTCACTCTCATTCAGGCTGAAGTGCAGTGGTGCAATCTCAGCCTACTGCAACCTCCGCCTCCCCAGTTCAAGCAATTCTCTGCCACAGCCTCCCAAGTAGCTGGGATTACAGGCGCCCAACACCAGGCCTGGCTACTTTTTGTATTTTGAGTAGAGACAGGATTTCACCATCTTGGCCAGGCTGGTCTTGAACTCCTGACCTCGTGATCAATGGCCTCAGCCTCCCAAAGCGCAGGGGTTACAGGCATGAGCCATCACGCCTGGCTCCGCTCAGGTACATCTTTTATACTTGTTTCCCTGAAAGCCAGCCAGTGTTGCTACTGGTTTCTCAGAATAACCCTGCCAATCACCATTTAACTGCCTCCTGGTCAGAAACAGAGGAAAGGGGCTTGCTGGGCATCCTCACTCCAAAGCCAGAACTGGGGCTGTGATGCAGAGGGGTAAGTCAGGGAAGGGGAATGGCCAGGCTGCCACTCATCATACAGACCCAGGGACTGTGGCATAGTTAAGAGACTTGAAAACTGAGTGCAATGCATGGATTTAGTTTGATCTGATTGAAATAAGTCAACCATTAAAAACAAACAAAAAAAACCACATGCTGAGACAAATGGAAAATTTGAGTATGAACTGGGTGCTAGGGGATATTATGAAATTTCTGTTTGTTAAGTGTGATAATGACATGGTGGTAATATTTTAAAAAAAGGTCTATGAACACACAAATATGAGCAACTGATTTTTGATAAAGGTACAAGGGTAATTCAGCAGAGGAAGAGCAGCTCTTCAAAATGGTGCTGGATCAGGCCAGGGGCAGTTGCTCATGCCTGTAATCCCAGCATGAGCTGGGAGGTCATAGGTAGGAGGATTGCTTAAGCCCAAGAGTTTGAGACCAGCCTAGGCAATGTAGTGAGACCCCCATCTCTATAAAAAAAAAAATTTGTTTAAATTAGACAGGCATGGTGGTGCACACCTGTAGTCCCAGCTACTCAGGGTTGAGGTGAGAGGATCAGTTGAGCCCCAGGGGATCAAGGCTGCAGTGAGCCATGATCACACCACTGCAATCCAGCCTGGGAGATAAAATGAGACCCTTTCTCAAAAAAAAAAAAAAAAAAAAACCATGCTAGATCAATTGGACATCTACAAGTAAAATAATGAACTTGATCTAAATCTTATGTCTTCTATAAAAATTAAAACAGATCAAGGACTAACATGCAAAACATATCTATAACACTTTCAGGGAAAACTATAGAAGAAAATCTTCAGGACCCCAAAGGCTTGGTGAAGAGTTTTTATATTTGACACCAAAGACACAATCCGTAAAAAGAAAACCTGGTAAATTGGACTTCAGCAAAATTTAAAACTTTTGCTCTGCAGAAGACCCTGTAAAGAGGATCCAAAGACAAGCTACACAGTAGGAGAAAATATATGCCAGCTACATATCCAACCAAGTTCTTTTTACTTTTTGCGACAGTCTTGCTCTTGTGGCCCAAGCTGGAGTGCGATGGCGCAATCTCAGCTCACTGCAACCTCCGCCTCCCAGGTTCAAGTCATTCTCCTACCTCGGCCTCCCGAGTGGCTGGTATTACAGGCCCCTGCCACCACACCTGGCTAATGTTTTGTATTGTTAGTAGAGACAGGGTTTCACCATGTTGGCCAGACTCGTCTCGAATTCCTGACCTCGTGATCCACTTGCCTCAGCCTCCCAAACACTGGGATTACAGGGGTGAGCCACTGCGCCGGGCCCAACCAAGTTCTTATATCTAGAAATCTCAAAACAACCCAATTACAAAATGGGTAAAAGACATATACAGGCATTTCACCAAAGAGGATATTCAGATAGCAAATAAATACCATGGAGATGTTGAACATCTTTAGAAGCTAAGGAAGTGCAAATTAATATAACAATAAGATATTATAACACACCTATCAGAAGGCTAAAATAAAAAATAATACTGAATACTTGTGAGGCTGTAGAGACACTGGATCACTCACGCATTGCTAGCAGGAATAAAATAAGGTATAGCTGGCTGGGCACTGTGGCTCACACCTGGAATCCCATCATTTTGGGAGGTTGAGGTGGGTAGATCATTTGAGGTCAGGAGCTCAAGACCACCCTGGACAACATGGAGAAACCCTGCCTCTACTAAAAATACAAAAATTCGCCGGGCGTGGTGGTATGCACCTGTAGTTCCAGCTACTCGGGAGGTTGTGGCAGTAAATCACTTGAACTGGGAGGTAAAGGCTACAGTGAGCTGACATCGAACCACTGCACTCCAGCTTGGGCCACAGAGCAAGACTGTCTCAAAAAAAAAAAAAAAAATTGTACACTCACTCTGGAAAATAGTTTTGTCAGTTGCTTATAAAATTAAACATGCAGTTACCATAGAACCCAGCAATTCCATTCTTAAGCATTTATTGCAGAAAAACGAAAACTTACACAAAAAACCTGTACACAAGTGTTATAGCAGCTTTATTCAGAGTAGCCCCAAATTGAAAATAGCCCAGATGTCTCTCAACGTTTCAATGGTTAAAGAAACTGTGTTAAACTATGGTGCATACATGCTACTCAGCAATAAAAAGAAAGGAACTATTGATACACACAACCACCTAGATGGACCGCAAGTGAATTATGCAGAACTAAAAAAGTCAACATTAAAAAGTCATATTTGGCTGGGCACAGTGGCTCACACCTGTAATCCCAGCACTTTGGGAGGCCGAGGTGGGCGGATCACTTGAGGCCAGGAGTTTGAGACCAGCTTGGCCAATATGATGAAACCCCATCTCTACTAAAAATACAAAAATTAGCTGGGCATGGTGGCATATGCCCGTAATCACAGCTACTTGAGAGGCTGAGGCAGAACTGCTTGAATCCAGGAGGTGGAGGTTGCAGTGAGCCAGGATTGTGCCACTGCACTCCAGCCTGGGTGACAGAGCAAGACTCCATCTCAAAAAGAAAAGAAAAAGTCACATACTTTATGATTCAACTTATAACATTTTTTTCTTTTTTTAATAAAACTGAGACCATGCAATTTTTTTTTTGAGATGAAGCCTCACTCCATTGCCCAGGCTGGAGTACAGTGGCATAATCTCGGCTCGCTGCAACCTGTCTCCTGAGTTCAAGTGATTCTCCTGTCTCCTCCTCCCAAGTAGCTGGGACTATAGGCACGTGCCACCACACCCAGCTAATTTTTTTTAGTAGAGACAGGGTTTCACCATGTTAGCCAGGAAGGTCTGAATCTCCTGATCTTGTGATCCACCCGCCTCAGTCTCCCAAAGTGCTGGGATTACAGGCATGAGCCACTGTGCCTGGCAATTTATAACATTCTTTCAGTAACATTAGAGATGGAGAACAGAGTAGAGGCTGCCAGGAGAGACAGGGAAGGGCAGAGAGGTGGATGTGGTTATGAAGATACAGCACGAGGGAGAACTGTACTGATGCAATGCTTCTGTGTCTTCGCCAGTGGTTACACGAATCTACATGATGAAACTGCACCAGAATAAACACACACGTGCACATGGTGAAACCTAAATAAGCTCTATGGATTGCACCAATATACAATCCAAATTGTACATTGAAACTGAATGCAAGGGTTTTGATATTGCACTACAGTTATGCAAGATGCTACCACAGGGAGAAGGTGGGTGATGGGTACATAGGATCTCTCTGAAGATTTTTTGCAACATGATGTGAATCTATAATTATTCCAAAATTAAAATTTAAAAATCAATCAGAGATACACATAGATACATTTGCAGATTAAATGACACAGGTCTGAGTTTGCATTTTAAAATACTCCATAAGAGCCAAGCATGGTGGCTCATGCCTGCCATCCCAGCATCTTGGAAGGCCGAGGCAGGTGGATCACTCGAGGTCAGGAGTTGGAGACCAGTCTGGCCAACATGGTGAAACCTTGTCTCTACTAAAAATACAAAAACTTAGCCGGTCCTGGTGGCAGGCACCTGTAATCCCAGCTACTTTGGGAAGCTGAGACAGAAGAATCACTTGAACCCAGGAGATGGAGGTTGCAGTGAGCTGAGACTGCACCATTGCACACCAGCCTGGGCGACAAGAGCGAAACTCCATCTCAAAACAAATAAACAAACAAACAACTCCAGGAGGAAAGAAAATAAAGGACAGAAAGTAGGAGGAACAGATGAAACAGAATCAACAATTTGTTAAGTGTAGAAGCTTGGTGAGGAATATATAGGGGTTCATACAGTTTGCTCTCTAATTTTGTGTTTGAAAATTTCCAAGACAGAAGTTTTACTAAGTTCCCAGGTGTGCTTAGGCCAACACAAGGGCTAAGCCTGACTTATTTGTCCACCTTGCTGTTAACTTTTGAACATAAATTAAGGTCAAAGCTTACAGTTCTATTTATTTACAAAGTTTTTATTATGAATATTTATTGAGATTTTCACAAACCACATCTTCAATCTGCTTGTGTACTACTTTTTCCTCTAAGAAGTCCCACAAAGTTATAAAAAATAAAAATTTATAAATACACATTGAGAATTATGCATTTTTATATAACAGACAGGTCAGTGTTTCAAGTTGTCTAATCCTTTCCCTGTCTCCCCTCAGAACAAAATTTTAAGAGTATAGCCTCTGAAATCTCAACAGCAGAAAGAGCAACCCTTTTCCAAACCCTGCCTCTAACTCAGCACAACTGCACGCAACAGGCGCTTACTTTGGATAATAACAACACATGGAAACTGCAGAAACACTGACTGGGACGACACCTCCCAAGAGCAGTGAGAACAGCAAGCTGGGAGTGGCCATGGCTTGAATGTGGGGCTGTGTTTATCAACTCATCAGGCCAAGAATCTCAAAGAACTGAATCACAAACCCTGAGAAGCACACATAGGCCAGTCTAACTGCTTTGATCTAGGAGAGTTTCAGGTTACCAACCTGAAAAACTCCTATTTAATCCAGTTGGGGAATTCAATTCTTTTTTTTTTTTTTTACTAATGTCCGCCCCGCTTAGTTCCTGAGAAGCAGCTCTTTCCTTCTAAGCAAAATGACAGTACACTGAGGCCAGAGGAACACGGAGCCTGCTGTCAAGTCCCCAAGTGTTTCAAGTTTCCAAATTCACCAAGGGAATGGAAGATTAAGAGATGGGCTGGGCACCGTGGTTCACGACTATAATCCCAGCACTTTGGGAAGCCGAGGCAGGCAGATCACTGGAGGCCAGGAGTTCAAGACCAGCCTGGGCAACACAGCAAAATCCCATCTTTACTAAAAATACAAAAAAAAAAAAAATTAGCCAGGCCTGGTGGCAAGCACCTATAATCTAGCTACTCTGGATGCTGAGGCAAGAGAATCACTGCAACCTGGGAAGTGGAGGTTGCAGTGAGCCAAGATAGCACCACTGCACTCCAGCCTGGGCAACACAGTGAGACCCTGTCTCAAAAAAAAAAAAAGGATAGTTGAACTGTGGAAGCCAAAGGGGTATACTGAAGTTAAATATGGACTAAGGATTCTAATTTGGGGATCGGCTTATTCATCCAGTGTTCACTTCCAGGTGTCGTTGCATTTTTCTTCCTTGGATTTAGTTTTAAAAGCTCTGCCTTAGGAGACCAGAAAGGGTATTAGCATGCCTAGCACCTTCCTTAAAAATGTGTTTTCTGGTTTATAGGTACATTAAGAATAATGCTGTTCTCCCCACAGGAATACAAAGCGGTTGGACAAACTCAGACGGGCTTGTTGGAGAACCCCTCAGCTTGGCTCATTCCAGCCCCTTCATTAGCCTTCCAGCCAACCGGCCAGGTTTCTCAGCTTTCAGAACACAAGATGAGGCCCAGCCCTCAACATCACACTCACCCCACCAAACCCTTTCCTATTGTTAACTTTATTCCTATTGTTTTTCTGAAATGGAGTCTTGCTCTGTCGCCCAGGCTGGAGTACAGTGGCACGATCTTGGCTCACCGAAACCTGGGTTCAAGTGATTCTCCAGACTCAGCCTTCCAAGTAGCTGGGATTACAGGCACCTGCTACCACACTCGGCCAATTTTTGCATTTTTAGTAGAGAGGGGGGGTTTTACTATGTCGGCCAGGTTGGTCTCGAACTCCTGACCCTGTGATCCACCTGCCTCAGTCTCCCAAAGTGCTGGGATCAGAGGCGTGAGCCACGGCACCTGGCCCTCTTTCCTACTGTTTAAACCCCATGGCTCCTCTATCAAGTCCCAGCATAATACAGCTGACGCTCTAGGCTCTTGTGAGAGAAAAATCTCTTCTTCCAGAAGGGGCAACACTTGGCAGTTCCCAAGCACACATTCCTCAGAGGAGCAATAAATGGTAACTCTCTCAGGAGTAGAGTGCTGCCTGCTTAAGGGAGCTGTCATCAAATGCTGAGTGGAGGACAGATGCAACCCTGACATGTCGCTCTCCTTCACAGTGACGAATCTGCTCAAGACTCCTGATTCCAGCTGGCTCTGGATCAAAGCTGTGCTGTGTGGGCCTCCTGTTTCCAACACAGTGAGGGCGTGCACAGTCACTTTCCATCAGCTCAATGGAGCACTTGGAGCCCAGATGAGGAGAGAAACAAGAATGAAGTTCTGGGATGAGACAGTGGTGCCACAAATTGTCAGTCAATACATGGGATCCAGATATCCTGAAATACATGCTGGACAAACAGTCTTCTTCATAATAAGCACAGCAGCAAAGAGCCCTTTCTTTCCTGTCACTTTTCACTGGTCATCCCTGGTCTCCCGAGTTTCAAAGAAATCAAATCCTGTGATAATGAACAGTCACTGGATGCTGCTATGCCCCAGTGCATGGCTTGGTTGACTGAGAAAGTCTCTGGCTGGGTGCGGTGGCTCACGCCTGTAATCCCAGCACTTTGGGAGGCAAAGGCAGTGAATCACTTGAAGTCAGGAGTTCAAGACCAGCCTGGCCAACATGGCGAAATCCCATCTCTCTAAAAATACAAAAATTAGCCAGGTGTGGTGGCTCACACCTGTAATCTCAGCACTTTGGGAGGCCAAGGCAGGTGGATCACTTGAGGTCAAGAGGTCAAGACCAGCCTGGCTAACATGGTGAAACCCCATCTCTACTAAAAATACAAAAATTAGTCGGGCGTGGTGGTGTACGCCTGTAATCCCAGCTACTCAGGAGGCTGAGGCAGGAGACTTGCTTGAATCTGGGAGGCGGAGGCTACAGTGAGCTGAGATGGCGCCACTGCACTCCAGCCTGGGTGACAAGAGTGAAACTCCATCTCCAAAAAAAACGTCACATTATTCTGTTCATATCTTCCTCAACCCAAACATCCAGTGAAAACAGGTCATCTTAACAGACAGTTTGCCATAAAAATCATGTCCAATCACACCCTGCAGCCTCGGCTCAGTCTTGAGGAGGTAGATCATCCTTTCTTCTTCCCTCGAGTGGCTTTAACTCCCTGGGGGGCAGGGTGGAATTTGCGCCCCTATACAAGCCAGGTTTCTTTCTCAGCTTAGGAGAGGGACCTAGAAAGAAGAGGAAACATGGAGCCTCCTGGTGGGGGCCCTGTCTGCTCTCCTTCTAGGGGAAAACAGCTCCAGCACTGTAAGGGTTAGTCCTTAGCCTGCAGGATACTCAACCACTAAGGAACAAGAGCTGTGTATGGGAGCCACGTAAGGACTAGAAAAGGGAGACTATTCCTTCTCACCAGAGTGGCTCTCCCCAAGGCTCAACCCCACTGAGGAGCCTCTTTTCCACCAAGGAGCAGAGAAGACCACCTCGGTGGGATAGAGAAGGCTCCCTGGACCCCAGCCTCCAACTCACTTCTTCCTGCGGATCTTGGGCTTCTTCACGGGCCGCAGATAAGGGTTATCGATGATGTTTTCCTCCCCATTCCGGCTTCCTGACAAGGAGGGGTTCTGCTGCAGGACAGAGGTGTTCTCCTTCTCAGCTCCAGAATCCTCCTTTGAGCAAAAGCCGAAATAAAAAACAACACCAACAGCATAAGGAAAGAGATGATGCCCATAACTGGAATGACTGCTAGCAGCCTTTCACTGAGAAGTCAGGACCTGGGAAGCAACTTCTTTCCAGCGTTCCTATCTCTGCCCCTGATGAAGTGAGGACCAGGCAGGGGCTGGCTACAAAGGAAAGGCAAGACTAACAGCCTTGACCCAGGAGAGCACACAACAGAGTCGAGTCTTGAACCTCTGGAGAAGGCAGGGACAGGGGTTAGAAGGAACAGAGACCTGGGAGGGACAGGAATCAAATTCAGATGCTTCAGGGAGGATGCCCAGCCTGGTGGGGAGATGAAGAGGAAAGTGGCCCTGGATGCCCCTGCAGGAGACTGGGAGATACGGGATCAGAACAAATCATTCGCATAGGGAATGATGCAGGAGATCAGGAGCTAGCCTACATCAGAACAGACTTCTCCCTCGAATTCTCAAATTTCTGGTACCTGCAGCATGCTACCAATGATCACATTCCTGCATTGGCCAGAAACTTCAAGAGCCCTGAGGGTTCTACTAACAGAAGCAGAGCCTGCGGGTACCAGCACATGCACATCATCGGTCATGCCTATCTGCAACCTACAAGGCAGGGTTTTTGTTTGTTTGTTTTTTTGGTGAGACAGAGTCTCACTCTGTCACCCAGGCTGGAGTGCAATGGCATAATCTCAGCTCATTGCAACCTCCCCCTCCTGGGTTCAAGCAATTCTCTGCCTCAGCCTCCTGAGTAGCTGGAATTACAGGCATGTGCCGTGATGCCTGGCTGATTTTTCTATTTTTAGTAGAGCCAGGGTTTCACCATCTTGGCCAGGCTGGTCTTGAACGCATGACCTCGTGATCCACCTGCCTCAGCCTCCCAAAGTGCTGGGATTGCAGGCATGAGCCAGCGGGCCTGGCCTGGGTTTTTGAGACAGTCTCCTGTTGTCACCCAGGCTGGAGTCAGTGGCACAATCTTGGCTTACTGCTGCCTCTGCCTCCTGGGTTCAAGCGATTCTCCTGCCTCAGCCTCCAGAGTAGCCGGGATTCCAATCAAGTGCCATGATGCCTGGCTAATATTTTTTTTTTTGAGATGGAATCTCGCTCTGTCTCCAGGCTGGAGTGCAGTGGCGCAATCTTGGCTTACCGCAACCTCCAACTCCCTGATTCAAGCTATCCTTCCGTCTCAGCCTCTCGAGTAGCTGTGATTATAGGCGCCCCACCTTGGCCAGCTAATTTTTGTATTTTTATTAGAGATGGGGTTTTACCATGTTGGCCAGGATGGTCTCGATCTCCTGACCTAGTGATCTGCCCACCTCGGCTTCCCAAAGTCTTGGAATTACAGGTGTCAGCCACCGCGCCTGGCCTAATTTTTGTATTTTAGTAGAGATGGGGTTTTACCAGTTGGCCAAGCTGGTCTCCAACTGCTCTGGGAGGATTAGTGATTAGTTCTCCTTTCCTTAGTCACACGCGCCTCCATTTTCCATGTTTGGTCAGGTTGCGCCCCCTGGTGATGGGTCAAGGGGAAGAAGTTCTTCCAGGGGGAAGAAGTCACTGAGATTCCTGTTCTGCAACTTGAGGCTAAAGAGGCCCTCACTGACCTCAAGCAGGAGAGGCTGCTGTCAAAACAGGTGAGGACACTGTGACTGGATGGCATGAAATGAACAGCAGCTTCCCCCCACAGGACAGCTGGCCTAGGGCATGGACACCAGTCTCAGGCTTAATGAGCTGGAAGAAACCAGATCACGGCCAGGTTCCCCTGCGTGACCTCTCACTGTCCTAGCAACTGTTCTCTTCAAAGACTCAGTTTCATCCACCCAGCATCAGGGGCTGTGTGCTTTCTCTTTCCAGCACCCAATCCAGTGGGACCACATGGTGACCTAGAGCCACTGGGGCCTTCCGGAGACTCTTGAAAGCAAGTGCCGCTGGACCAACCTAGCTCAGGCCAGACCAGGCTCCTGAAAAAAGGTGTCTACAACCAGACCTCCCTTGGGTATTTGGCGTCCAACCTTTCTAGAGTTCCTAATGGCGCGACTGAGCAGTATCTCCCTCCTCCGTCCACCCCATCATTTCTCTATAGTAGACAGCCTATGTTCAAAGTTATTGGAAGTTGCCGGGCATGGTGGCTCACGCCTGTAACCCCAGCACTTTGGGAGGCAATCACTCTGCTTGGGCCCACCACTGCCTCTTGCCTAGGCTTGAACCCGGGAGGCAGAGGTTGCAGTGAGCCAAGATCACGCCATTGCACTCCAGCCTGGGCAAAAAGAGTGAAAACTCCATCTCAAAAATAAAAGAAAAAGTTAGTGGAAGTTCACTTCAGTTGTGCCTTCAGTGTTTTCTGAGATACAGATGGAGGTAATTCAGAAGGGTGCTGAAAACCCTCGCCTCAAGACTCCCTCCATTCAGCCCACCATGGCTGGCAAGAGCAGGACAACAGCTTCCCTTCTCCCAAGCAGGCTTCACAGAAACACCCCTGTCAGGGACAGGCAGCATTGAGATGGGGAGGAGTGGGGAGTCAGGAAAATAAAAAGTAGGCTGGGCGTGGTGGCTCATGCCTGTAATCCCTGCACTTTGGGATGCTGAGGCAGGCAGATCACCTGAGGTCAGGAGTTCGAGACCAGCCAGGCCAACATAGTGAAACCCTGCCTCTACTAAAAATAGAAAAAAAATTAGCCAGGTGTGGTGGCGGGCACCTGTAATCCCATCTAGTTGGGAGGCTGAGGCAAGAGTCACTTGAACCTGGGAGCCGGAGGTTGCAGTGAACCGAGATTGCACCACTGTCCTCCAGCCTGGGTGACAGAGCAGATCTCCATGTCAAAAAAAAAAAAAAAGTCAAACTGACCCAGAGATTTGCAAAAAAGGTAGGAGTAAAACGGTTTATCAAGAGCTCCCTGAATGGCCTGTGAGCTCTAGCAAGCCCCACACCCTCTGTGGTGACTGCATCCAGTCTCCCAGCTTTCAGTGCCATGTCCACGCCAGTGCTCCCTAGAATACATCTCCAGCTCTCACCTCTCCCAACTTCCAGGCTCAAGCAGCCAACTGCTCACTCAGCATCTCTACTGGGATGTCAGGGAGGCAGCTCTGACTGTAGGCACCTAAGTCTGAATTAGGGACCTTCCCCGGTGTGTTCTCTTCCCCGGCTCTTCTCAGCCCCTCCCATCACAGGTAATGGCAACTCCATCCTTCTAATGGTGCAAGTCACAAACTCTGTGGTCATTCTTGCTTGTTTTCTTTCTTTTCTTTTTAAACAGTGTCTCACTATGCTGCCCGAAACTGGACTCAAATTCCTGGGCTCAATCTTCCTGCCTCAGTTTCCCAAGTGACTGGGACAACAGGATGCACCACACCTGGCACACTTCCTTTCTTTTGCTGACATCCCACGCCCAGTCTGTTAGGACATTCTCTTGGACTTACCTTCAAAATATAGGCAGGTACTGACCACTTCCACCACCTTGGTGGTAACCACTCTGCTTGGGCCCACCACTGCCTCTCACCTAGGCTACAGTGACAGCTTCCTGACTGATCTCTCTAGTCTGTTCTTACCAAACCATCAGAGTGATGCTTTAAGAAGCTCAGAAACATCCCTCCTCTGCTCCACACCCTCCCACAACTCCCATCTCACTTAGTTAAAAGCCAGACCTTATAACAGCCTACAAGGCCCTACCCCATCTGACCCTCCCTCCCTCAAGCTACTCACTATTCCACAGGGTCTCTGCACTGCCCATTCCCTCTGCCGGAACATTCTTCCCCAGATATCCACATGGCTCAATCCTTCACCCATTTCAAGCCCCTGCTCACCTATCCCATTCTCAGTAACACCTACTCCAAGTGCCCCACTTAAAACTGAAGGCTCCTCCTCACCCTGAATCTTCCCTTACTATTTCTCCCCCTACAGCACTTTCATCTCTGATATATTATGTAATGAGTTATTCATATTTCATGTTTACTGTCATTCTCCCACAGCCAAACATAGGCTCCTAAAAGGCAGAGGTTTTCTTTGTTTTTCTTACTGCTTTATCCCAAGCAGCCAGAACAGTATCTGGCACATACTAGGTGCTAAATAAACACTGGTTGAGTGAGTGACTGGTATATTTTTCATAAAAGAGTAAAAGCGCCAGGCGTGGTAGCGTGTGTCTGCAGTCCCAGCTACTCGGGAGGCTGAGGTGGGAGGATTGCTTGAGCCCAGGAGTTCTGGGCTATAGTGCACTATGCCAATCAGGTGTCTGCACTAAGTTCAGCATCAATATGGTGACCTCCCGGGAGCAGGAGACCACCAGGTTGCCTAAGGAGGGGTGAACTGGCCCAGGTTGGAAATGGAGCAGGTCAAAACTCCCATGCTGATCAGTAGTGGGATCACAGCTGTGAACAGCCACTGCACTCCAGCCTGGGCAACATAGCGGAGTAAAAGTTTAGCCAGGCACAGTGGCTCACACCTGTAATCCCAGCACTTTGGGAGGCCAAGGTGAGTGGATCACAAGGTCAGGAGTTCAAGACTGGCCTGGCCAAGATGGTGAAACCCCATCTCTGCTAAAAATACAAAAATTAGCCAGGCATAGTGGTAGGCACCTGTAATCCCAGCTAGGTACACTGAGGCAGAGAATTGCTTAAACCCAGGAGTTGGAAGTTGCAGTGAGCCAAGATTGTGCTGCTGCTCTCCAGCCTGGGTGACAGAGTGAGACTCCTTCACACACACACACACACACACACACACACACAAAATATTCAGGATACACTCCAGAGAAAGAAAAGAAAAAATTAAAAAAAAAAATGTAAAAGTTTAAATATCTGGGTTGGCTGAAGAAAGCAACTGGTTCAAATATGTGAGAAAACAATCTATTATATGTGAATTTAAAATGAATAGCTCCTTTATGTTCAAGTACATGGAGAAACTAGAACCAGGGTAAATAAAGAACTACCTAACAACAGACCTTGAGAGGTGCACTGTCATCAAAGACAAAAGAATAACAAAATACCAGTTATTTACTTCGCTATAACAATGTCTGTAAATGCTAAAGACAGAAAACCACCTAAATGTTCACGGGGGACCAGATAAATTAAATGGTTACATCCATATAATGGAAGATAAAGCAGCTGTGAGGAATGGTGCAGCTCCTCCCTGACAGACATGGAAGGACTGCCAAGATACAGCCGGGAAAAAACAAGAAGAGAACAGTGTGTGATCTGCTGTTTCTGTTCAAAATAACAATTAAAAAAATGTCTCTAGAAGGATACACAAGAGGCTGGTGAGACAGTTGCTCTGTGGGAGGGAAAGTGGGTGACAGGGAACAGGATGGGAGGGATTGTCACCATACATCTTTTCACACGCTCTAAATTTTGAAACATATGATTGTATTTCCCAGTCTAACAAAATAACATTAGGTCCAACTGACTGTAGTAAATTGTCACTAGAATCTTTGTCTTGAAGTCTTTTTATTTGTCACAGAAAGGCATATATCCAAATCTCCACCTGCCATCACCACCTGATGTTTAACAAGCATCTCAAACTTAACACGTCTACATTTAAGACACAAACATGAACTCCTAACTTCCCCCACACACCTCTTCCACCCACTGGTTGTTCCTATCTTGGCTGAAGGCAATTCTATCTTTCCTGTCATTCAGGCAAAAAAATCTTACAGCTCTCTCTCTCTTCTCTCATATATCTACTCTATCAACTGGTTCTGCTCTGAAAGTGATCTAGAATCTGACCACATAATCTAGGTGACCACATCTCTCCTATCTTTGCTCCTCCTACCATCTCTCAGTTGACAGTGACAGCACCCTAACTGGTCTCTCCACTTCTGCCTGCCCTCTATAGCCCATCCTCAGCACAGCAACCTGCTGACCCTGTTAGCAAACCTACATCAGATCCCAACCTTCCTCTGCTCAACATCTCCAGTGGCTCCGTCTTACTGAGTAAATGGCAAAGTGTCTACTATAACTTTTAAGACCCTGTAAAGTCCGACTCCCCATGGGCTGTCTCTGACCTCATCCCCTACTGTTCTCCCTCTTGTTCACTCCATCCTGGCCACCCTGATGTCTTTGCTGCTCTTCAATTCAACAGGGAGCTCCAGCCTCAGGGCCTCTGAAGCTGCTGCTCCTGCTGCCTAGAATGGCTCCACTCCCAGACATGTGCCTGCCTTGTTCCCTTCAGGGATTTACTCAAATGTCACCTTCTCAGTCACCCTACCTAATGCTGCACCCCTCCCATCCCCATCCCCATCCCCACTTCCTATCTCCTCATTTATTATTTTTCCTTAGCCCCATGAGGGCAGGGAATTTTGTATATTTTGCTTTCTACTAATTCCCCAGCACCTGAAACTACGCCTGGCCTTGCCAGGCACTCATTCAGTATTTGCTGAATAAATGATTGAATCCCCAGGACACAGATGTGTCTCTAAGCAAGAGATAAGGTCACACCTGGATCATTACGCAAGCCCTCAAGCAGGCCCCTAACATAAAGCCAGAGACCTGAGGTCAATCATGTCTAGGTCCCAGGGTGACAGACTCAGGCAGAATGGGATAGTTGGGGGGATACTCTGAGGTAGGTAGAAGGTGGGACCCACCATGCTGATATGAAGAGCAAGGTTCTCTGTGTCTGTCTGTTCATCCTGCTCCGAGGAATCTGTCTCTTCCATTTGTTGCATCTCCAGCTCAGATGGAAGAAGAGCTGTCAGGTAGGGGATGGTGAAAGGTCTGGCAGCAATCACTGGTGAATTGGAAGAGAGGCATGAGTCCGCTGTCAGGGAGACCTCACAGCTAGCCTAGAGTTCTAGAGTCTCACAACCAATCAGTGAGCAGCACCGAAAGATACTAGCTAACTCGCTCCAAGTACTTACACAGCAGGCCAGGCAATGCCCCATTGGCTTTACACATGTTATCTTTCACCCCTGCTCCCATCCGATTAGATAAGTGCCATTATGCACAGAGAGGTGAAATGACTTTCCCAAGCATGCTGTAAGTGGCAGAATGAGGTTCCAACTCAGGCAAAATATAACTTCAGAATCTACTTTTTGCCAAGTACAACTGAGATAAGATTGAAATGGGATTATAGACAGAATCCTGGCAACACATGAGTTTTGAGATCTTGCACCCAAGGTCAGTTAAACCCCTCTAAGCTTCATTTCCAGAGCAAGAATATTGATTCTTTCGGTCTGAAGGACTCAAGTCCAAAGGCTGGATTTGAGCACTCTGCATATCTGCATGTCCACTGAGCACTCTGGTAAATGAGAGTTCTAGTTCTTCGAAAAAGCAATGAGGATGAGAGGAAGAAGTTGATTTAAAAATAATATTAAGACAGGGCGCGGTGGCTCACGCCTATAATCCCAGCACTTTGGGAGGCCGAGGCAGGTGGATCACGAGGTCAAGAGATCGAGACCATCCTGGTCAACAAGGTGAAACCCCGTCTCTACTAAAAATACAAAAATTAGCTGGGCATGGTGGTGCGCGCCTGTAGTCCCAGCTACTCGGGAGGCTGAGGCAGGAGAATTGCTTGAACCCAGGAGGCGGAGGTTGCGGTGAGCCGAGATTGTGCCATTGCACTCCAGTCTGGGTAACGACAGCGAAACTCAGTCTCAAAAAAAAATAATAATAAATAAATAAATAAATAAATAAATATTAAAAGAAAGAAGACCAGGTGTGGTGGCTTATGCCTATAATCCAAGCACTTTGGGAGACTGAGGCAGGAGGACTGCTTGAGCCCAGGAGTTTGAGACCAGCCTGGGCAATACGGTGAAATTCCATCCCTAGGAAAGATAAAATTAGCTGGGTATAATTGTGCAATGTAGTCCCAGCTACTAGGGAGGCTGAGGTGGGAGGCTCACTGGAGTCCAGGAGGTAGAGGCTGTAGTGAGCTGTGTTTGTGCCACTGTACTCAAGCCTGGGTGACAGAGTGAGATCCTGTCTCAAAACAGAAAAAGAAAAGAAAAAGTCTCTTTGGATACTTCTGTGGTAGAATGGACTGTTAGAAAATACTCTAGAATTGGCTGGGCATGGTGGCTGATACCTATAATCCCAGCATCTTGGGAGGCTGAGGCGGGAAGAACACTTGAGCTCAGGAGTTTAAGACCAGCCTAGCCAATATGGTGAAACCCCAGCTCTACTAAAAATACAAAAAATTAGCCAGGTGTGGTGGTTCATGCCTGTAGCCCTAGCTACTCAGGAGGCTGAGGAAGGAGAATCACTTGAACCTGGGAGGCAGAGGTTGCAGTGAGCAAAGATCATATCACTGCACTTCAGCCTGGATGACACAGCAAGACTCCATCTCAAAAAACTCCACAAAAACTCCAGAATTATTTTTGCTGTGGGTCAGATGTGGGGTCCCACAGTAAGAGCTAGGTTTGAATGCTACCTACTGGCCACGTTCCTTGAGCAAGTGACTTCATTTCTCTTCCCTTATGCCTCACTGAGGGGTTCCCATGAAGGTGGTGATGGTATCAGTTTCCAACTCAGAGGCTCACAAGGGGATTTAATGAGATAATGTATGGGAAGTGATCAGCACAGTATCTGGCACTTAATAACTGGCAGCTGCTGTTATTCCAGAGCCAGGCACACCAGGCATGCCACAGGAGCCTGCTGCAGAATCAATCACCTAAACCAACCTCCCTCACTCACCTTTGTAAAAACTGAGGTCTCTGGAAATGAAATAGCTTGGTCAATGTGGCCAAATAGTGCTGAGATGCAAAGTTAAATGAGACAGGACCTACAAGGAACATCGTGATGGACAACTGGCCCCTGATGCCAATGTTCCTTCTACTATCTGGGCTGCCACTGAGTGTCTCTGATACCTAGGCCTCGGCCACCCTCAAGGCAACTCAATGGACCTCAAGCGGCCAATCCCAACAGAGGCCTTTACTGTTTTGGAGTCATCAGTTAGAGACAGACTTTTTTTTTTTTGAGACAGAGTTTCGCTCTTGTTACCCAGGCTGGAGTGCAATGGCATGATCTCGGCTCACCGCAACCTCCGCCTCCTGGGTTCAGGCAATTCTTCTGCCTCAGCCTCCTGAGTAGCTGGGATTACAGATACGCGGCACCATGCCCAGCTAATTTTTTGTATTTTTAGTAGAGATGGGGTTTCACCATGTTGACCAGGATGGTCTCGATCTCTTGACCTCGTGATCCACCCACCTCGGCCTCTCAAAGTGCTGGGATTACAGGCTTGAGCCACCGCGCCCAGCCGAGACAGACTCTTAAGACGTGGGGAAAGGAGCCAGAAATCTAAGGGACAAACTGTGCCCAAGAGAAGGAAAAAAGCTTATTTGCTTCTTCCTACCATGCTGAGAGAAAGGGAAGACAGTGTGAGTATTTCTACTTTTTTTTTTTGAGATGGAGTCTTACTCTGTTGCCCGGGCTGGAATGCAGTGGTGTGATCTGCAACCTCTGCCTCCAAGGTTCAAGTTATTCTCCTGCCTCAGCCTCCCGAGTAGCTAAGATTACAGGCACCTGTCACTACACCCAGCTAATTTTTAATATTTTTTGTAGAGACGGAGTTTCACCATGTTGGTCAGGCTGGTGGTCTCAAACTCCTGACCTTGTGATTCACTCACCTAGGCCTCCCAAAGTGCTGGGATTACATGTGTGCCACTGCTCCCAGCGGTGTGAGTATTTCAAATGATAAGACAGGGTCCACGCACTGGGGCAACTCTTACGTGGGAATGTGCTGACATCATCTTTGAAAAGACTCTGGGTCTCGCCTGTCTTGGCCATGAAACGGGTGAGTGCCCGCTCCACATCGCGCCTCTGAGATGCAGCCTTTTCCCGCAGGACCTGGTAGTCTGACACGGGCTCACGGTACGTCTACAAAGAGAACAGCAAAGACACTGGGATGATGCTGAAGTATCATTCTGCTATTGTCAGCACCCTGGCTTGCTGTTGCTACGTCCTACTCTCTAAAATGACTTATTAGAGCCAAGATCACCAAAGCACAGTAGAAAGGCAGAAAAACAATGTAACCACATTAATATTTATTTCTAATTAAAAATTAAGAAATGTGCAAATACTTACTGCAGAGATTGTCCTGGGGCCTTCATTCAGCTCCCATGACAGATGGTCTCAGGTCTAAGAGACACATCCTGAACAAAGAATGGGAGTGCCCCCAGGGAACCCCTGATGGGGACCACAGGCTCCATCAGCGTAATACGACCTGGTGTATGGGAATGGCTGTCTGTGGATTTGTGGATTATACTATCCCATCTTCTTAAATCAATCCTCACAATATGGATACACTGTTCCAAAAAGATCCCCTCAATGAAAGAGAGGCTGAAAAATCTTATTATACGTGCAAGTGACCAAGAAAATGGCAGGCTGCCACTCTTCCTCCTAATTATGAGCTTGTTGGCAATCAAGTGAAAATGACTGAGATCAGAATGAGAAATGGACCAAAACATTTTATTATTTTTTGAAGACAGAGCCCTGCTCTGTCACCCAGGCTGGAGTACAGTAGCTTGATCTCGGCTCACTGCAACCTCCGCCTCCTGGATTCAAGCAATTCTCCTGCCTCAGCTTCCTGAGTAGCTGGGACTACAGGTGTGCACCACCACACCTGGCTAATTTTTGTATTTTTTAATAGAAATGGGTTTCACCATATTGGACAGGCTGGTCTTGAACTCCTGACCTTGTGATCTGCCTGCCTCAGCCTCCCAAAGTGCTGGGATTACAAGCATGAACCTCTGTGCCTGGCCGGCATTCTGAGTTTTGAACCACCCTTTCACTAACAGGCTTTCAGGCTGGACTCTGCCACCTGACAGTCGGTAGAAACTGACTCCATACTTTACACCACACACAGCCCCAGTGTGGCTTCATCACTCACCGGAGTTTTGATGTAGGTGTGGGGATCAGGGAACTCAGGAAAATGGCTGGGGATGTGTGGCGGGTGGGGTCGGTTCTGCCCTGCAGTGAGGGCCTTGGGGGTCACTGGCTGATTGGTCACCGGAGCTGCAACAGAGTCACAACTGATTACCCCTCACCCAAGGCCCTCGTTTCTACAGATTACGGTCTCTCCCTAAAGCCTCCTTTACTCAAAGAAAATGCCAGACCTCAGTTTTCTAAACAAGTGGTGTTTTGTATTTCAATCAATAAAAGGTCTTTGACGGCTTAAGGACCTACACCCCTGCAATGCCCAGCCTGCTGGCTGATCTTGATTGACGTTCCCTTTGACAACAACCTTCCCATAAGCCTCTTAGATGGAGGTGGATGGCTATGGCCACAGTAACTACGTAAGACAGCATGCTAAGGAGCTATGAAAGTTACATGGGTTGCTGATTCTCTTTTCAGAGACCTTGGATAACAAAGACAAACAATGAGCTGGGGACAATACGTGTGGAGTTAATCATAACAAGGGGGATTAAAAATGGCACCTTCCACTGCTACCTTGAAAGGGAGCATTAAAAAAAAAAAAGCCAACATAAAAAAATTGACTTTAAAGAAAAAATCCAGGCCGGGTGTGGCGGCTCACGCCTGTAATCCCAGCACTTTGGGAGACTGAGGTGGGTGGATCACTTGGGGTCAGGAGTTTGAGACCAGCCTGGCCAACATGATAAAACCCTGTCTCCACTAAAAACATAAAGGTTAGCTGGGTGTGGTGGTGGGCATCTGTAATCCCAGCTACTTGGGAGGCTAAAGCAGGAGAACAGCTTGAACCTGGGAGGCAGAGGTTGCAATCGTGAGCCGAGATTGTGCCACTGCCCTCCAGCCTGGGCCACAGAGTGAGACTCCATCTCAAAAAAAAAAAAAAAAAAAAGAAAAAATCCAATTAATTTTCTTGGGGTCCTACCAGCCCAAACTGGTTACTCTCTACTCAGCTTATGGCACCCAGTTTTACCTGAACTTTGTCATCAAACTTTGTGTATAGGGCCACATAATAAATGCTTTAGGCTTTGCATGTGGTACAGTCTCTACCACAACTAAATTCTGCCATTAGAGCATGAAAGCAACCACAGATAATAAGTAAATATGGCTGCATTCTGATAAGACTTTATTTACAAAAACAGGAGGCAGGCTGCATTTGACCTATAGGCTACAGTTTACCAACCCTACTCTAAGGAGAACAAGAATCTTCATTTTTCCAAGCAGCATCATTTGCTCTTCTGGGGCTACAGCGATGTCTCAGAGACAGTTTACCTTTTGATGACTGATTTTCACATGCCAATCCCACTAGCCCAAACAAAGATGATATTGCAGGTAGCCCCAAACATTGGAAGAGAGTCCACTACAAGGAAGTAGCTACTAATCCAATCTTTGCCATATTCAATTACTTCATTCCACGATCATTAGTTGATAAATTACTAAGCACCTCAGTTCAAAGTCACTTACGAGCAGTGATGACCATCCTCTGAGACCGTTTTGCATAAGCAGGGAGAGTGTCCACATTGAAACCTAAGAGACAGGAAAACAAGAATCACTGCCAAGACCACCAAATATTGAACACAGAAAGAGGAATAGCATTATGGACAAATGGCTTAAATGCTCAACTCAATGACCTGCAGCCTCAAAAAAGAAGCTCTGGCAGAATTCCCTAACAGGGAGTTATAAGGCCTTTTATATGTGTTCAGAGGAACCTCTCCTGATAACTCTTTCTAGCTCAGAGCAAATCAAGAGAACCCTAAGGGAAAACAAGAACACTTAGCAGACATGCCTGACTCCTAGGGACTCCTCTCTCCAGTGGCATGGAAGAACTGAAAACTGAAGTTGTACTCACCCATCTCAACAAGTGTGACCACAATATCTGATAGTGTGGGCTGGGTCCTGGCTGTGTGCTCACAGTAAGACTTGGCACTTCTCCCAATTTCTGAAATGTCTAAGAGGGGATTAAAGGCATAAAACTTATCCACAGTTCCTCAGAAAGTTAAACATAGAATTACCATATGAGCCAACAATTCCACTCCTAGGTATATACTCGAATGAATTGAAAGCAGGGATTCAAACAGCTAGTACTACACCAACAGTCCTGGCAGCATGATTCACAATAGCCAAAAAGTAGAAATGACACAGTGTCCACTAACAGGTGAATAACAAAATGTGTTGCATACATACAATGAAGTATTACTCAGCCTTAAAAAGGAAGGAAATTCTGGTAATGTTACAGTATAGATAAACTTAGAAAACATTATGCTAGGCCAGGCGGGGTGGCTCACTCCTGTAATCCCAGCACTTTGGGAGGCTGAGGCAGGTGGATCATCTGAGGTCAGGAGTTCGAGACCAACCTGACCAACATGGGGAAACCCCATCTCTACTAAAAATACAAAAATTAGCTGAGTGTAGTGGCAAGGACTTGTAACACCAGCTATTTGGGAGGCTAAGACATGAGAATAGCTTGAACCCAGGAGACGGAGGTTGCAGTGAGCTGAGATCAAGCCATTGCACTCCAGCCTGGGTGACAGAACAAGACTCCAACTCAAAAAATAGAAAAGAAAAGAAAACATTATGCTAAGGCCGGGTGTGGTGGCTCTCACCTATAATCCTAGCACTTGGGGAGGCAGAGGCAGAGGCAGGTGGATCACTTGAGGACAGGAGTTCGAGACCAGCCTGGCCAACATGGTGAAACCCCATCTCTACCAAAAATATAAAAATTTAGCCAGGTGTGGTGGTGCATGCCTGTAATCCCAGCTACTCAGGAGGCTGATGTAGAATTGCTTGAACCCGGCAGACAGAGATTGCAGTGAGCTGAGATCGTGCCACTGCACTTCAGCCTGGGAGACAAAGCAAGACTCCATCTCAAAAAATAAAATAAAATAAAGATTATGCTAAGTGAAATAAGGCAGACAGAAAAGACAAATATAAGATTCAATTTATGTGTGGTAAACAGAGACTGAAAGATTAGAAATTACCAGGGGATGCCAGGAACAGTGGCTCATGCCTGTAATCCCAGCACTTTGAGAGGCTGAGGCAGGTGGATCACATGAGGTCGGGAGTTCAAGACCAGCCTGACCAACATGGAAAAAAACCCCACCTCTACCAACAATACAAAATTAGCTGGCATGGTGGTGCATGCCTGTAATCCCAGCTACTCAGGAGGCTGAGACAGGAGAATAGCTTGAACCCAGGAGGCAGCTGCGGTAAGCTGAAATCGCACCATTGCACTTCAGCCTGGGCAACAAGAGTGAAACTCCATCTCAAAAAAAAAAGTTACCAGGGGATGAAGTGGGAGGGATAATGGGGAGTTACTGTTTATGGGTGCAGTGTGTCTGTTTAGAATGATGAAAAAGTTCTGAAAATAGTGTTGATGGTTGCATAACATTGTGAATGTACTTAATATTACTGAATTGTACACTTAAAAATGGTTAAAATGGGCCGTACACAGTGACTCCCGCCTGTAATCCTAGCACTTTGGGAGGCTGAGGTGGGCGAATCACAAGGTCAGGAGATCGAGACCATCTTGGTCACGGAAAACCCCGCCTCTACTAAAATACAAAAAAATTAGCTGGGTGTAGTGGTGCACACCTGTAGTCCCAGCTACTCAGGAGGCTGAGGCAGGAGAATCACTTGAACCCGGGAGATAGATAGAGGTTGCAGTGAGCAGAGATCGTGCCACTGCACTCCAGCCTGGCGACAGAGCAAGACTCCATCTCAAACAAAAAGATTGTTAAAATGATAAATTTTGTTATGTATATCTCACTGCCACACACACAAAAAGGTCTTACTCTCTGAGGTGCAATTTTTCTTTCTCCTGCCTGAAGCTGAACCTCTATTTAATAGTCATGTTAAAGTCCTTTGGGGAAAAGGGAAAGGTTTCTACGATGGAGTTTTTGAAGCTGGGCTCCGTGAATGAGCGTCCAAGGTGGATGGGAGGCTTCACAAATATTCTGAAACTGTGTTGAATGTTACACACAAAAAAAGCATTTTTGGGGGGAATGTGTCCACAGATTGTACCAAATGCACAAATGGGTCCAAAAGGTAAGGAACTCCTGCTCTAGCAGCCCAGTGGCTCAGAAAACAGAAGACCCACTACCAATTCCCCAGCTACCCTGAGCAAATCACTGATATCAGCCTCTAGACATAATTTTTAAACTCCAAATTCCAAGATTGTTCCCAGAACGGCATTCTTATCTCCTGAGAACGATTAATTCATTCTTTTAGGACAAAGTTCAAAAAGTGGTAGCCTGGGAACCCGATGTAGGCCCCAAAATATTTCCTGAAGTCCACAGGTCAAAACTATTTTCATAATAAAATTAACTCATTATGTGACTTTTTTTTTCTTTAGACATTTGAGTCTTGCTGTCCCCAGGCTGGAGTGCAGTGGCATGATCTCGGCTCACTGCAACCTCCGCCCCCTGTTCAATCGATTCCCCTGCCTCAGCCTCCAGAGTTACAGGACTACAGGCACATGCTGCCACGCCTGGCTAATTTTTTGTATTTTAGTAGAGACAGGGTTTCACCATGGTGGCCAGGATGGTCTCGATCTCCTGACCTCATGATCCCCTGCCTCAGCCTCCCAAAGTGCTGGGATTACAGGGGTGAGCCACCGCGTCCGGCCTATTTGACTTTTTTACTCTCATTGTCTCATGTAGTTTTCGTGAGTCTATATGACTTTTGATGACATCATGGGTCTGATGAATAACAGAGTATGTGATTGTACATTCTTATTTTCAAAATTTGTTTTATTTTCTAATGTGGCAAATACACATATACAAAAGCTACTTGGGGTCCTCAATGTTTATTAATAGAAAAGGATTCTGAGAGCTGGGCATGGTAGCACATGCCTGTAATCCCAGCTATGTGAGAGGCTTGGGCCCAGAAGTTTGAGGCCAGCCTGGGCAACATAGCAAGACCCCATCTCTAAAAGAATAAATAAATATAGTTCTGAGGCTGAAATGTTTGAGATCACTGCTTTAGGGAAACATTTGGTATGTAAAAGTGCCTGACATCAGCTGCAGAGAGCCACCTTGCCCAAGATCACCCTTCCTGGGGTAGCCCACATCAGTGTTTGATCAAATCCTGAGTATAAAGGCAGAGCCCTTTCAGCTTGATGGGCAATAATGCTCCAGGGGTCCTGGCTGAGTTGTCCATTCTTTGTTGGGCCTGCACTGCACTCCACATCTCCCTCTCCCCAAACCTTTCTCCTACTTCCTTTCATAGTTGTTGATCCCTAAGAAACACTGTAAATACTTCCATCCCTCATCAGATCCCATCCCCCAAAAGTTCAAAACAGGGAAATATGTTGTACATGCAGAATAGCCTATGTGAGACAATGTTGGGCTTCTAAATCTCAACACGTTGCTTTTAAAAGCAGCTTTTTGGCCAGGCGCAGTGGCTCATGCCTGTAATCTCAGCACTTTGGGAGTCTAAGGTGGACAGATCACCTGAGGTCAGGAGTTCGAGACCAGCCTGGCCAACATGGTGAAACACCATCTTTACTAAAAATACAAAAATGAGTTGGGCATGGTGGTGCACGCCTGTGATCCCAGCTACTCAGGAGGCTGAGGCAGGAGAACTGCTTGAACCCAGGAGTGGGAGGCTACGGTGAACTGACTGAGATTGTGCCACTGCGCCCCAGCCTGGGCAACAGACTCCGTCTCAAAAAAAAAAAAAAAAAAAAAAGTGGCTTTATCCCTTGTTCTTTGTATTACATAATCTAGCATTTGATTACATAATGTGATGTTATCTATTGCATAAGGAATTAGTCCTGACTCCCCAACAAAAGTCTTTAAGGGCATCCACAACTCACTAAGAGCTTACAATCTCCCCAGCATTGAATGTTTTATATACACATCTCACACTCACAACTCCATGAGGTACAAAGTGTTATCCCATTTCAAAAATGAGGAAATTGAGGTTCAGGAGGTTCAGTGGCTTGCCCAAGCTATTAAGTGACAGAGTGATGATGTACACTCAGGTCTATCTGATTCTGAAGCCTGTAAGTCACTTCATTATGCTCTTCTTTCTTTCTTTCTTTCGTTGTTTTTGGAGATGGAGTCTTGCTCTATTGCCAGGCTGGAGTGCAGTGCCATAATCTCGGCTCACTGCAACCTCCACCTCCCAGATTCAAGTGATTCTCCTGCCTTAGTCTCCTGAGTAGCTGGGATTAAGGCACCCAACTAACACCATGTTCAGCTAATTTTTAATTTTTATTATTTTTTATTAGAGATGAGGTTTCGCCATCTTGGCCAGGCTGGTCTTGAACTCCTGACCTCAGGTGACCCACCTGCCTTGGCCTCCCAAAATGCCGGGATTACAGGTGTGTGCCACCACGCCAGGCCCATTATGCTTTTTTCTTTTTTCAACTTTTTACATTAAAAACATTTTTTTTCTCCCCTCTTAAGAAAAAAGTTGATCTTCTTTTTCTTAAATCCTCTCAAACACGATCGTAAAGCAGGGCACAAAACTGATGCTGGGGTTGATTGGAAAAAGGACTAATGTTTCCACGGACTCACAGCTCTGCAGCATCTCTGTCAATGTTTCCACGGATGCTTTCTCAGCACTCTCAAACCCGGCCTCTGTCAGCAAGGAGCTCACAACCACTTGCAGGGTTCTCCTCCGGGCCAGATGATAGTTATCGGCAGGGTTAGTGGACTGTTTACTTCCCGATCTCTGTGAATCAGCAGCCCAGAGAGATTTTCATCCAGGAGAAGGATGCAATCACAGAGTTCACACATGGTCAGTGGCAAGGCAAAAGTGCTTTTACTAAATACTTTTATTTTAAAAATCGGTGCTTAACGTTTAGATTTACAGATCTTGGCCAACTGAGTAATAATTGAGCACCCAAGGTGCTTTAAATACAGAGACTACTCTTCTGCCTACCTAAAACGTACGGTCCCAATAAGATAAAATAGTAGGACTTTTATCTTCTACTTTAGCATACCATTAGAATATATAGCTGGAGAAACACGCATGATGGGATTGAATAGATCTGTCCCCCCAGAAAAAACAGGATCCCTCTCTTGTGCCCCCCATCTTCACACCATTTCATTGAAAGGGAAATTGAAAACATAATAAGAGGTGACGGCGAGGAGAGAAGAGCAAAAGATAACAGCACGAAAATGTAAGAAAGCTAAATATTTTGAAAAGGGAATCCCTTTCAACTTTGGCCGGCCAATAAGAAAGCGAAAACGGCATTTTCAGACCAATCAGGGGGTATTCCGGGTTCCCAACCCCCAACAGCAAACGAGCCAATCAAGACACAGGTCCGCCAACTCCGGAGGCCGCAGCCAAGTCCCAGGGAGGGGGGTGCGTAAGGCCTGAAAGACCCTCCGCCAATAGGACCTCATGGTGGGGCTGGATTTCTGGGGATTCGCTTGTGGCTCAGTCTAGGGGAAAGCTTCAGAATACCCAAACTCTTTCGGCTCCAGCACGCGCCTCCTGCCCTTACCGTTCCGGAGCCGCCGGCCCCAGCTGTGGCCGCCGCGTCGGCCATCTTGCTCTGGCGTAGTGTGCGCGAGCGCAGGGCGGGATGGGACTTGTAGTCGCGGGGCGGGGCGGGGTGGTATGCGCCCCTCTAGGTTTTGCGAAGCTCGGTGGGTTACTGGACGCCGCCGGTAACCCCGGCTCACGTGACTTTTTTTTTTTTTTTTGGCGGGGGTTGGGGTTGGGAGACAGGACAGAGATTCTGTCTCCTAGGCTAGAGGGTGCAATGGCGCGATCTTGGCCCACTGCAACCTCCACCTCACCGGCTCAAGCGATCCTCGCGCCTCAGCCTCCGGAGTAGCTGGGATTACAGGCGGGGACCAACATGCCCAGCTAATTTTTGTATTTTTAGTAGAGACCGGGTTTCTCCATGTTGGCCAGGCTTGTCTAAGATTCCTGGGCTCAAGCAATCCGCGGCCTCGGCCTCCCAAAGTCCTGGGATTACAGGCGTGAGACACCAAGCCTGCCTCACGTGACCTTTTGAGAGCGAAGTGTTCAGGGCCTTCAGTGGCTTGGTTGTGGACAGTGAAAACAAGCTCTCTATTTCACTGAGTTAAAAGAAATCTTTTAATATGAAAATCATTTCTTAAAAAGAGTACACTCCTGGAAGGACCCAGGAGGTCATCTACACCCGCAGGGTTTTATAAACTTGTCTGATTATTGGCAACACCTGACCGTGCCCAGCCAATTCCCAGTGACTTAACTCTCTGGAAGAGGGGCTTGGAATCTTTCTTATTAAGGAGCTCCCCAGGTGATTCTCCTGAGTGGTTAATGTTGGGAAACCCTGGAGCATCCAGCCTCATTATATTGTGCTGAGGGCCGCTCAGCCTGTCAATCAATGGCCCGCTTGGAAGTAGAGCCTGGACCACCTAGTCCAAGTCTATGGCTGCATCCTGCTGCCTTCGCGCCCTCGACCCGCAAGTATTTGCAGGGCGAGCCTGTGGCTGTTGGGGGGGGGGTTGTTCCTTGCCGCCTCACTCCCAGGGTGTGGGGTGCCCACGGCTGCCCTTGCTTGTCAGCCCCTCTGGCTGCGCCGTATTCGTTCCCATTTGCAGGTACCTGGAAGGACGAAGACGCTGGGCTTGGATCCTAACACTAGACAGCTATGGGACTTCGGGCACTTGACCTTATCCTCAGTGTGCCTTAGTTTCCTCTTCTGTGAAATCGGGGTAAAAATGAGATGATACACAGAAAGGGTATGTTATGGTGCCTGACGTGTATTAACAGTCAAGAAATCAGCCGGGCGTGGTGGCTCACACCTCTAATCCCAGCACTCTAGTAAGGCCCAGGCGGGTGGATCACCTGAGGTCAGGAGTTCGAGACCAGCCGGCCTGGCCAACATGGTGATGAAGCAGGAGCGGCCTCGAGAAACAGACTTCTCTTCGGCCTAGAGCAAGGCGACATGTTTGTCTAACAGCCAAACTCACCTAAAAAAGAGAAGCTTTGCCTTTATATAGGCTTACAACTCTAGATATTACACGTGAAAGAGTCTTGGGTTTACAGTTTTAGAAATTACATGTGAAAGGGTCTTGGTCGATAGAGGAGGAGTCGGGTGGGGGTTTGATCTTGTTTAAGTAAAAACTGCCTTCCCCATACTATGCCTGCTATCTATAGGAAGGTGATTTAGGAGGCCCCAGTCGGCCAGCCTTTTCTTCTATTGAAATGCAGTGTGGAAGTCAAGGGGAAGGTGATCTTAGATCTTTCCTCAGTGAAACCCGTCTCTACTAAAAATACAAAAAATTAGCCAGGCGTGGTGTTGGGCACCTGTAGTGCCAGCTACTGGGGAGGCTGAGGCAGAAGAATGGCTTTAATCCGGGAGGATTGCAGTGAGTGAGATCGTGCCACTGCACTCCAGCCTGGGCGACAGAGGGATACTTCGTGTCACAAAAAAAAAAAAAAAAAAAGAAAGAAAGAAAGAGAAAGAAAAAGAGGCCGGGCGCCATGGCTCACACCTGTAATGCCAACACTTTGAGAGGCCGAGGCGGGCGGGCGGATCACAAGGTCAGGAGTTCAAGACCAGCCTGGCCAACACGGTGAAACCCTGTCTCTTCTAAACATATAAAAATTAGCCGGACGTGGTGGTGGGCATCTGTAGTCCCAGCTACTCTGGAGGCTGAGGCAGGAGAATCGCTTGAACCCGGGAGGCGGAGGTTGCAATAAACCGACATCGCACCACTGCACTCCAGCCTGGGCGACAGAGCGAGACTCCTTCTCAAAAAAAAAAAGAAAGAAAGAAAAAGAAATTGCGCCTCAGGATGTTGTTTACTTCCTGGACAGCACATGGAGTCCCTAACGCCTGGAGGCAGCCGTCTGGGAACCTGCGCTAAGCCGGCCCCACCACCCACACCTGAGCCTCCTTGGCGCCCCGCCCCCTTACATAGGCCGCGTGGGGCGGGGGCTGCGGGCCGGGGTGCGCGGCGCCGGATGAGCCTCCTGGCCTCGCCATGGGTACGCGGCGGGGGGTGGGGCGGGCCGGGGACTGAACCTTGGCTGAGCTGAGCACCAGCCCCTTTGTGTCCTCCGCCCCCTTCCCCACTTCCTGCCCAGCTCGGGATCGGCGGCGAGGCGCGGACTTCGCGTAAACCAGTCGCCCCTGCAGGAGTGGAGACGGGCTCTGTTCGGACGCCCGTGGGAGAGATGCAATCCCCTCCTCGCGGCGGTGGTTGTGACAACCCCACTCCCAAAAGGCAGGCGCCAGAGGCGGCGGGAGAGAGCGTCTGCGGCCCCTATCGGTGCTCCGGAGAGCTCACCTGCCGAGGAGGTAGGCTTGGGGGCTGGAGAAACCGGGGTAGATAGGATGTCAGCTCAGGCTGGAGATCACGCGTTGGGGATCGGAGCTGGCTGGGTTATGGGTTCACCGCGTCCTCATCCCCTCCCTGTTGACACCCAAAGTTTGGCTCACTTTCCGACAGAGTAAGTTCTGCACGGAGTTGGAAGGCAGGGAAACCCCCAAAGGCCACGCAGCCCCTCCAGCTGATCTGGAAGACCCGTGGCTTTATCCGGCTGTTGCTCTTCTCATACCTCAAAGATAGGGTGGGACGCCAGTAGGAGGGTAGACCAGTGTGGAAGGGAGAGTCTGTGGGTGCTCTGGCCAGTGCACCGGGATGAGACTGGAGGGAAGGACCCCCCCGTGGTGTCTGATTGGTACATAGGTGATGGTCTTAGCCTCCTCTGTTTCTTGAAGTGTCAACAATTGGAATAACTGAAGAAACTGGTTGCTGTGACTAAGGGAGCCTTAAGCTACTAATGTGCGTTGATTGAACACCTGCTATGTGCCTGGCATTATATGGGATGCTGAGGATACAATGACATTATTGATCCACAGCTAATGTGGATCACAGAACCACGGACGTAAGGTGCCAAGTACACTGGCTGGGGAGGCTTTAGAGAGAAAAGGACATTTGAGTTGGATTCAGAAGGATGAAAAGCATGGAAGTCTTTGGGGGGACTTATTCCATAGAGCCGGAATGAACCGGAGCTGTGGTGTTGGAAACAATTCCTGCTCTCTTTAATCCACTGTCTAGCATGAAGGGAATGAACAGGGTGAATTCCACAAAAGGCAATTTTCTGGGCTAGGTCCCAAGAACCCAGGAATTCCCTTCTGGGTGCAGCTGGGAGGGGGTCTGCCTGGGGGTGACGTGACAGTCCACACAAGCCTGGGTACCTCCTCCCCATCCCTGGACTCTGAGACTATTTCCTCTGACAAGTCCTTGCCCTCTGCCCACCACCTCATTTCTCTCTGGGACCAGACATGGTTGGAGAAGTGGATCTCCCTTTCCTTCCTCACAGATTCTTCCGTCCGTTCAATTCCGGGTCTACTTTGGGAAATGACTGACACACCAACTTGTGAATTCATTCAGCATCTATTTGCTGTGGCCATGCTCCGTCTGCACAGGCTATTCCTGACAGCTGTTGGGGATGTCATGGTAAACAAATCAGTTTCTTCCCCCTGGAACTTAAAACAGAAAGCGTCTCTGATAATTCCAGCAGAGTCCTAGTCTATGCCAGTCCTAGTCTATGCCCTGCCAACTCACTCTCAGGGCGTCGGGTGCCCGTGGCTGCCAGTGATTTTCTCCCTTGCTTGTCAGCCACTCTGGCTGCACCGTATTCTTCCCCATTTAAGGTACCTGGCAGGACTTAGATGCTGGGCTTAGATCCTAACCCTAGGCAGCTGTGGGACTTTGGGCACTTGACCTAATCCTCAGTGTGCCTCAGTTTCCTCTTCCGTAAAACTAGGGGAAAGATGAGATGATACACAGAAAGGGCATGTTACAGTGCCTGACATGTAGTAAGAGTCAAGAAATCGGCCAGGCACAGTGGCTCATGCCTGTAATCCCAGCACTCTGGGAAGCCAAGGTGGGTGGATCACCTGAGGTCAGGAGTTCAAGACCAGCCTGGCCAAAGCCTGGCCAACATGGTAAAATCCCATCTCTACTAAAAATACAAGAAAAATAGCTGGGCGTGGTAGCAAATGCCTGTAATCCCAGCTACTTGGGAGGCTGAGGCAGGAGAATGACTTTAATCCAGGAGGTGGAGGTTGCAGTGAGCGAGATGGCTCCTCCCGGGAGGAACCTTGAACCTCCCCTCCTCCTCCTGGGTTCAAGTGATTCTCCTACCTCAGCCTCCCAAGTAGCTGGGACTACAGGCACCCACCACCACACCCAGCTAATTTTTGTATTTTCAGTAGAGGTGGGGTTTTACCATGTTGGCCAGGCTGGTCTCAAACTCCTGACCTCAGGTGATCCCTGCCTCCCCCGCCGCCCCCGACCTCAGCCTCCCAAAGTGCTGGGATTACAGGAGTGAGCCGCCACGTCTGACTGGGAGGCTTTATTCTTAACCAATAGGATAACCTACCTCATTGACTGATCACATAAAAGGTACACTTGAGCCAGGAACTTAGGAGTTTCCTAAAGGGAGTCTGTGGTCCTGTATCCTGGATGATTTAACTGAGCTTTGATGCTGGTACTGTTTGCAGTGAGCTCAGCAGGCCTGGAATAGGGTTGTGGGAACTGCACAGAGCTGGTATCCTTTCCTG